AATCCAAAGCCAGGAACCAGGAGCTTCTTCCAGTTCTTCCACGCGGATACAGGAGCCCAAGCACTTGGGCCATCTTCCACTGCCTTCCCAGGCACATTAGCAGAGAGCTGGATTGCAAGTGGAGCAGCTGGGACTCAAACCAGTGCCCATATGGGATGCCAGCACTCCAGACAGCAGCTTTACCCGCCATGCCACAGAGCCGGCCTCTCTGCCTTTCAAATACATACATTTGAAGAAAATTTATTTATTTACTTGAAAGACAGAATTACAGAGGGACAGAGACAGAGAGATCTTCCATTCATTTGTCCACTCGCAAATGGCCGCAACGGCTGAAACTAGGGCGATCCAAAGCCAAGAGCCAAGAACTTCTTCCAGGTCTCCCAAGTGGGTGCAAGGGCCCAACAACTTGGGCCACCTTCCCCGGCTTTCTCAGGCACACCAGCAGGGCACTGGATAGGAAGTGGAGCAGCCGGGACTCCAATGATAGCCATATGGGATGTCAGCACCGCAGGTGGCAGCTTCACCTGCCACGCCACAGTGCCAGCCCAACACATATATTTTTTAAATTGTTTTTAAAAAGTCAGAATCGTGGCCGGCACCGCGGCTCACTAGGCTAATCCTCCGCCTAGCGGCGCCGGCACACCGGGTTCTAGTCCCGGTCGGGGTGCCGGATTCTGTCCCGGTTGCCCCTCTTCCAGGCCAGCTCTCTGCTGTGGCCCGGGAGTGCAGTGGAGGATGGCCCAGGTGCTTGGGCCCTGCACCCCATGAGAGACCAGGAGGAAGTGCCTGGCTCCTGGCTCCTGCCATCGGATCAGCGCGGTGCGCCGGCCGCGGCGGCCATTGGAGGGTGAACCAACGGCAAAGGAAGACCTTTCTCTCTGTCTCTCTCTCTCACTGTCCACTCTGCCTGTCAAAAAAAAAAAAAAAAAAAAAAGTCAGAATCGTATTTCCAGCTGGGGGAAGTGGCAGGAATGTGGCTATCATGATAGAAAGGTGGGCAAGGGGCTCGTAGGGTGAGGGCAGTGTATGCCCTGACACGGCGACAGGTGTGTTTTACAACATAATGTACCTTTATGTCTCATGCACTGTTCTGAATGCTGTATCCCACAGCTGGAACGAACACTATCTGGGTGGCAGTGTTAATTTTTAACAGGTGAATAGGGAGCTTGCCAGCCGCGAGCCTTCCCGTGTCCCTCGGCCCAGTGTCCTCCGGGCTCCTCCGGCCCGCGCTGACCTCTGAGCTGTGGCCCACTGTGTCCCGGTCCGGCTCACCCACCAGGCCAGGGGCTCTGCAGTGCCAGCACCCAGACAGGAGTCCTTGCAGGGTTCCCAGTCGAGCCGCTCAGGCCCTGTCCACGGGAGGGGTCAAGGGGCATTTGCTGTCGGGCGACAGTGGGCCCGCCTCCCGTCACCACCTTCCGTGGCCTGGTTATGGGCAGGCCCTGCTCCCCACACTGGACAACGTGGCAGCAGATGACCGCTGACCACATGGGGGAGGGCGGGCTCTGCAGTTCCACTTACCTTCGACTCTGTCCATCTGTCTGTCTACAGCCCAGTCAGGAATATTCCCCTGTCCTCGCCTGGCTCGCCCCTCTCTGTCATCCAGCCCCAGGCTCCGCTTCTCTGGGGAAACCGGGCCCCTAGCTCCCGCGGCCGCGGCCTGCCCGCCCCGCGCCCCACAGCATCCTGCTCCTCAGTTTCTTAAGCTCTTTGATCTCCCTGGGTTGCCCTCATGGCCTGGGCCTGACCCACTTCTGGCCTCCAGGGCTGGTCAGCCTCGTTCGCGCCCTGGCAAGCCCAGAGGCGCTCCTGGGCGCATGCGCTCTCGGGGCACGAGCCGTTGCCTCGCGGTTCCCCCCACTGCCAACTTCCGGGTACCGACCACGCCTGCGCGGATCGCCTCGGGATTCGGACTCCTCACAGCGTGCGCACGCGGGCGAAATAAGCAGACTGGGGCTGCCAGAGGATGGGGCGGGGCCTGCAGCGTGGGGAGGAGCCTGACACGTGTCCAGAGGAGCGGGCAGGAGTTGAGGGACTAGGGAACCCAATAGTCGGGCACCTGACAGATAAAAATCCAAGTACAAGAGACCCTCAGATCGTAGAAGGCCATGAAAAGGGGCCGACGTTGTGGCATAGTGGGTTAAGCCGCCCCCTACAACACCAGCATCCCATATGGACACAGGTTCGAGATTCCACTGCTCCACATCCAGCTCCCCGCTAATGCGCCTGGGACTGCAGCTGGAGATGGTCCAGCACCCATGTCGAAGGCCAAGAAGCAGCCTTGGGCTCCTGGCTTTGGCCTGGCACAGCCCCAGTTGTTGCACCCATTTAGGGCGTGAACCAACCAATGGAAACGCTCCCTTTCTCTTTCAAATAAAAATGTAAAAAGGAAAAAAAAAAAAGGCTGTAAGAAAAGCTGTGCCCACCCGGATCCTAACTGCTGTCACTGATGTCCTCCTTCCCAAACCTTCCCTAGCCTCAGGCACACAGCAAACAGATCGTGAGTTGGGCCCCCCCCCCCCCCCAGTAGAACTCAGCTCCTGCCAGCTAAGTAAAGGCAGAGTCCGGGATCACACAGCAGGACTGAACCAGGCCCTGCCTCCCCCATCCCTGTATGCCATCCCAGGTCAGTGGGCAAGGACAGGCTCTCAGGTGTGGGCAGGTACACACACACCCCTAAGGAAAATAACAGCTCTTGGGAATCCCTGTCCACCCTTCCCCCATCTGCCCAAACCTAGTTCTCTTCCTCCTTAGAAAGGAAAACCCTGGGTATTGTGCAAGCAACTGCAGTTCTCCAGCACTTACCAGGGGGCGGGGAGAAGGCAAAAGGCCATAACCTCAGCTGTGGCCACAGAGCAACAGGCAATGGCCTCTGACCTCAGAAAAGAGGAAGAACAGAGATGCGGGTAAGAATGCCCAGGTGGCCGGTGCCGCGGCTCACTAGGCTAATCCTCCGCCTTGCGGCGCCGGCACACTGGGTTCTAGTCCCAGTCCGGGCACCGGTACTGTCCTGGTTGCTCCTCTTCCAGTCCAACTCTCTGCTGTGGCCAGGGAGTGCAGTGGAGGATGGCCCAAGTGCTTGGGCCCTGCACCCCATGGGAGACCAGGAGAAGCACCTGGCTCCTGCCATCCGATCAGCGTGGTGCGGGCCGCAGCGGCCATTAGAGGGTGAACCAACTGTAAAGGAAGACTTTTCTCTCTCTCTGTCCACTCTGTCAAAAAATAAATAAACAAACAAACAAATAAGAATGCCCAGGTGTGAGGGCTGAAGAGGAGCTGAAGATTCCAGGGCACAATTCCTGACTGCCTGCCCTGTTTACAAACAGTGGGGCTTCCATCAGCCGTGCAGGTCCACCTCACTGAACTAGTTAAAAACGCTGGGCTTGGGGGACCAGTGCTGTGGCGTAGCGGGTAAAGCCACTGCCTGCAGTGCCGGCATCCCATATGGGCACTGGTTCAAGCCCCAGCTGCTCCACTTCCGATCCAGCTCTCTGCTATGGCCTGGGAAAGCAGAAGATGGCCCAAGGCCTTGGGCCCCTGCACCTGCATGGAAGACTAGAAGAAGCTCCCAGCTCCTGGCTTCAGATCGGTGCAGTTCAGGCTGTTGCAGCTGATTGAAGAGTGAACCAACGGATGGAAGACCTCTCTCAGCCTCTCCTGTGTAACTCTTTCAAATAAATAAAAATCTTAAAAAATAAAAAAAACCTGGGCTTGGGGCCAGCGTTCTGTAAAGCCACCGCCTGCACTGCTGGCATCCCATATGGGCACCAGTCCCCATCCTGGCTGTTCTACTTCTGATCCAGCTCCCTACTAAAGGCCTGGGAGAAGCAGCGAACGTGGGGTCCCTGATACCCACATGGGAGACCTGAAGCAGCTCCTGGTTCCTGGCTTCAGCCTGGCCCACTCCCGGCTGTTGCAGCTATCTAGGAGGCGACCCAGAAGATCATCTGATTCTCCTCTCTCAAACAAACCTGAAGAAGGCCGGCGCCACGGCTCACTAGGCTAATCCTCCACCTTGCGGCGCCGGCACACCGGGTTCTAGTCCCGGTTGCCCCTCTTCCAGGCCAGCTCTCTGCTGTGGCCCAGGAGTGCAGTGGAGGATGGCCCAAGTGCTTGGGCCCTGCACCCAATGGGAGACCAGGAGAAGCACCTGGCTCCTGCCATCGAATCGGCGCGGTGCGCCGGCCGCAACACGCCAGCCACAGCGGCCATTGGAGAGTGAACCACCGGCAAAAGGAAGACCTTTCTCTCTGTCTCTCTCTCTCACTGTCCACTCTGCCTGTCCAAAACAAAACAAAAAAAAAAACAAACAACCTGAAGAGAAAACTCCTGGCTTGAGACATCTGCATCCCACACTGGAGTGACTGGGTTCAAGTCCTGGCTCCACGCATGATTCCAGCTTCTTCCTGGTAATGCACACTCAAGTAGCTGGTTCCCTCCCGCCCACCGGGGAGACTTAGACTGAGTAGCTCAGAGCCTCAGCCTAGCCCAACAGCTCTGTGGGCATGAGGAGTGTACCAGCAAAGGAAGCTTGTTGGCCTGCCTGCCTCTCAAAAATGTTGAAGTCCTGGGGCCACCTCCCCCACGCCCACCCCACCAAGTGCAAAACTCGACAACAGGTGGAGAGTGTGACTGCAAGCAGAATTCTTCCAAGCTGAGTGAGGCCCAGAGAGTAGGCCAAGTCCGTGCTGGCAGCTGACCTGTGACCCAGCATCCTGCCCACCTGCACCCCTAACGCAAGGAAGAGTCCGAGATGGGCATTGTGGAGCATGGGAGTAAGCCACCAACTTCCTGCTAACGCAGCCTGGGAGGCAGCAGATGGCGGCTCAAGTGAGCCCCTGCCATCCACATGGGAGATCCACGCGGAGTTCCACGCTCCCGGCTTCTGCCTGACCCAGCCCTACAGGCACTTGGGGAGTGAACCTGTGCATGGAAGATCTCTGTTCTCTGCTCTCAAGGAGACAGAGAGGGGGAAAAAAAAAAGAGTCCAAGACCCTTGATGCCCACTGATACCCTTCTCAGGGCAGCTTTATTGATACCATTTGTCAAGGTTCTTCCCCAGCAGCCCCCAGCCTCTGCCTTGCCTTTCCGAGACGGTGGCTGTTCTGATCGTGGCCCTCTGGGCACCCACGTGTGGCACTCTGGGTGACGGTCCTACTAGAAGCCTGTGTCCATTCAGTTCTGGGGAGTAGGGAGGTGGTGAGAACAGCCAGGTATGCGTGGGAAGTAGGCAGAGCCCTGGCTGGCTAGAGATGTGTGGGCAAGGTGAGCAGGCCCAGGTGTGCCCGGCACCAGTGCCCACTGGTATTTTGCTGAAGCCCAGGTTGGGAGTGGTAAAACTAGAGATCCTGAGAGAAAAGCCCTTAGGCCAAAGAAGTGTGTGGAGTAGATCAGGACAGGGGACCAGGGAGGAAGAGTTTAGAGGGAGCAGAGTCAGAGTGTGAAGAGTGAGTGTGTGCACAGGCACGCACAGCAGACAGCCCAGGGGTCAGACACACGTGTGCAGACTTCAGTGAGGAGGGAGGGTGTGCACAGGCACGCACAGCAGACAGCCCAGGGGTCAGACACACGTGTGCAGACTTCAGTGAGGAGGGAGGGTGTGCACAGGCACGCACAGCAGACAGCCCAGGGGTCAGACACACGTGTGCAGACTTCAGTGAAGGTGCAGCTACGCCTCCCTCCCTCTGAGGTCTGCAGGCCTCAGCCCTGCTCTCCGGAAGCTGATGGAACACACCTGGGGGTTGGGGTGGGTGGGGGCGTGAGAAGGAAACTCAGCTGGAAGTGGTTTAGGCCTCAGAGCCCACATCCTGCAGAAGGGGCTGGCGTCCTGTCGCAGTCCTCAGAGCTGCTAGGGTGACAGTCCTCTACGGGCAGATGGCCAGCCTCCGGGGAGAGAAGGTGGCCTGGAGACTTGGAGGCGGGGTCAGTCCCGCCAGATCCGGGCTCAGGAGGCCTCTGACTGGCGCCGACCCCCTTCCTCCTCCATCAGCAGCAGGCGGCGCCGACCAGCCTCGTAGTCGGCCTCGTCCACACTGACCAGCAGGCGGACAGCCTCCCGGCCCACGGCCTCGCGCAGGGCCTCAGTCAGGAACACGCCCCGCAGGGCCTGCAGCAGGGCACCGCTCAGGTAGTCGCCCCAGAAGGCGTCCAGATACGAGAGCTCCGAGAACTTGATGTCACACACCACGGAGCCCAGGTCCCTGGAGCGCAGCACCGCGGTGGCCTGCCCGAACACATCCAGCTGCCGCGCGAGCGCCTGGGGCCGCCGGGACGCCACGCCCTGCTCCAAGGCGGGCCCGTGCTCGCAGTACTCTGCTCGAACCCGGAGTCGGATGTCTGTGGGGGAAGAAGGAGCTCATGAGGGTGGGCTGACACCCGCCCAGCAGGACCAGCCTCCCACCCACGGCCGCACCCCTTCCGCAGCCACGCCCAAAGCCGGCGAGGTCCTGGCAAGGCTCCAGTGCTGTGCGGGGCCCTCCTCTCCTGCCTCACCACTTCCTCAGCAGGCTCCCCCACTTCCTGCAGGTCTCTGCTCCCACTGAGACCCACAGCCGCGACCTACGCTCCACCCACTCAGCCTCAGCTCCCCACGTCACACTGGGTGACCTTCTGTCGGCTGCTGCTGGCTTTACCACATCTCCGCACTGGGCGCTCCCTCAGAGACTGTCGCTCGCCGTGTGAGCCTGCACACGGGTGCCAGTAGGCGGCCAGCCTCACGGCCGGCCAGCCCCACACACAATCCCGCGGGGCTGAAAACGTCCCCAACCTTCCATCTCAGCAGGCAAGCGCCAGGAGGCACAGGGTCCCAACCTTGCTGGCTCTCCTGACAATCAGCTGCCTCCTTCCACCCAGGCTGAGGGGCTGTAAGCCCAGAGCTGCCGGGGGCCATCTGGCCACCAAGGGACGGCAGAATGCAACCTACACAGGCCCAGTAACAGAAACCACACGAATTCACTTCACCCACAAGCGACCAGTGAGGCAGCTCTGTTACCACTGCTAATTGGCAGGTGAGGAACTGGAGGCCAACAGCAGTGAGAGACTTGCAGGGGCAGTGCTCACGTCACACCCACGCCCCAGCGTGCAGACTGCTCAGTCGACAGAGCCGACTCCACTGGGCACTGGCTCTGTGGCCTGGGCCTAGTCACCACCTCTCCGAGGAGTTCCTGCCTAAGCCAGGGACGCTGTTGTGAAAAGCTGTTGAGAAGATTAAAAAGAAAGCTCGGACAGAAAAGAACACATCAGCGCTGTGCCTGACGCCCAGCAGGTGCTCCAAGAATGTCCGTCACCAGCAGCGCCAGCGTGCCAAGCACCTGGTCCTGGGGGACTCGGCAGAATCAGCCTCGTGGGACAGCGGCCGCTGCAGCCCATCTGACAGACGAAGAAACTGAAGCTCTGGGAGGGGTCATGCCACGGGCTCCCTTCACCTCGCACACGGCATCAGCAGCAGAGCCGAGAGAAGGCAGGCCCCTGCTCCCCTACTTCCTCCTCCCACCCAAAACCCTTCCCCTTTCTACACCGAGGGGAACCCCACCTTCTCCTCTCAAGGCCCAGCCTGCCCAGCCTCAGCCCCAGGCTTGCCCAACTCCTTCCATCGTGAGGACCTCGCCAGCCCTCCGGGCCCATGGCCTTGACCCCTCTTAGTGTCTGGTGTGGCCTCCATCAACATGGGCAGCAGAGCAGGGGGCTGGGAGGAGCAGGACCTGTCCAAGGCCACACAGGGCTGGTCAGCGGCAGAGGCAGAGCCAGGTGGCAGAGTCCCACAGACCTGGAGGTGAGTCCCAGCTCTGCCACTCTCTAGCCGTGGGGCCTTGGGCATGTGACCTCACCTCTCTGAGCCTCAGTTTCCCCATCTGAAAAACAAAGAGACAAACAAGAGGTCCCCTGCAGAACGGCAGGACCATGAAGATTAAACGAGGCAGCTTGTAAAATGCCTGACTCAGGGCCTACGGCAAACAGGCACGCAGAAACAGGAACTGTGATTTCAACACCCACCCCTCTGCCCTCCATGGGCCCAGCTCAGGCCTGGGTCCCTGAGCCAACCTCCTCCTCCATCAACTCCTCCAACGGCAGCTCCGTCTTCTCACACCCTGCTGTTACCAGGCAATGCATTCCCAGCACAAGCCTGACCACTCACAGACGGCCTGCCCATCTCCAAAGGCTAGGGAACATCCCCCTCAGCACCCACCAAGGCGCTCAGTTCATGGCACCCCACGTCCCACCCAGCGGGATCCTCGGCCAGCTTGCCCTTCGCCCCAGCGGGGGCGGTCACTGGACCCAGGGTGCAAAGCACCTGCTTATTCAGAGACCCCGCCGCCAGGTGGGAGTGGGCACAGGAAGGGGCAGGGCAGAATCACAGACAGGAGGGCCTGCCACAAAGGGAACAGGGAGACACACAGCCCACAGCGGAGGAGCCTTGTTCGCGTGCCAGGCCCTATTCCCCGACTAGCCCTACCTTAGCCCACCTGCTCCTCTGAGTACTTTCATCATTGGTTCTCAGATGTGTAAATCAGACGTGTAACCTCTGACCTGGGCAACACGATCCAGGACGGAGAGGGAGGACAGGGCCCCGGTGGACAGGGAAGACGAGCTTCCCCTGGACACTCCTCCTTCCACCCAGAACCTCAGGCCCATGCTTAAAGCACAACTTCTCCGCCTCCCCACACCCACATAGCTGCAGGTGACACTGACAGGATTTACTGCGGGTTGGCACAGGACCACAGCCTTCACACCCACTGACCCCTTCAATCAGCCTCACAAACTCACAGCAGTGCCGCTGCAGAGGGGATACTGAGGCACGGAGACTGAGTCACCTGCCCAAAGCTACACAGATACAAGTGGCAGAGCTGGAATTCTATCTGAGATGCCCAGCTCCAGAGCCCAAGCTCTTAACTACCTATCCTGTTGGCTGCCTCTCACAACCATAAATGCACAATTAAGAGACAGCCTGGGGGCTGGGGCAGAAAATTACACAGCGTGAGCTGTAATTTAGACTGCAAGCATCAGAGAGCACCTCTCCAGGAAACACCGTCGCAGCGAGCCGTGAGCGAGGAGAGGCTAAGCAGATTTACCCGGGAAGACAGGACACACAAGCACAGCACTGCCAGGAGGGCGCAGCACTTGTCCAAGTCCAGAGAGAAAATGAACTCGGAGTGTTCGCAGGCCAGACCGTGGTGGAGAAGGGCACGGGGGAGAAGCAGCGATACAGCCAGGAGTCTGCTCTCACTCAGCAGCGGCTCTGGGGCCTCTGGAGGTGACCAGACCTCTGTGCATCTCCGAAGCCTCTCACGGAGCGACTGGGAGGACCGCAAGGGTGAGGGTAAGGGAGAGCAGAGGCTCTCCCGCTGCTCTGCACGCAGCAGAGTGGCAGCCACAGGGCCGGACCACAGGAGGCTGCCCAGCATGGAGGCGGCGGTGGGGAACAGCCCCGCCCCCTGGAGCCCTGCCTGCCTGCAGGTGCAGCTGCTCCTGCTTAGGCACACGGCGCCCCACACACCACCATCCCTCTTCCGGGGCAGAATGGAACAGAAGAAGTGGGAGGGGGTTCCTGGTAGGGGGCCAGGGCAACGTGCCAGGGGCAGGTCCTGGGCTGGGGTCTGGTAAGTCATCCCCCTGAGAGCTCCTAGATGGACAGCCTTGAGGGGAAAGCGGCAGCCAGCGGGCTTTAATGGAGAGGACCCCCACCTGGCCACCCGGGGCCAGCACCATACCTCTCTAGACAGTGGTGGGACCCCTCCCCTGCGGCCTGGCTCCATGCCAGACTCAAAGCTCTCCACACAAGGTAGCCAGGGTCAGGAGGTCAAACATAAAGCTCCCCCCACCCCATCAGCAGAAGGTTGGCAGTGGCAATGGGAAGGAGCTGCCCCCAGCTTCAGAGAAAGACAAGCAGCCACGCCTACTTCCTGAGGGAAGAGCTTGGAAACTCAAAACATCCAACCACAACCTGGCCACGCCTCTCCAGACCCCACCACCACCAAAGGGACGGGCAAAACCCAGCCGTCCTTGGGAAATGCTACGGAACAACTGCTTCCGACACAATGCTAGGGGGAACGAGAGACACTGGTGGGGATCACTGGAAATCTGAGCAGTGATGTCTGATAGTAAGGAAGTATTGTCACTGATTTTCTTGATGTGGTAATGTTTTAAGGAATCTTTCTCGGGGTGGTGCTGTGGCGGGTTAACGCCCTGGCCTGAAGCGCTGGCATCCCATATGGCTGCCGGTTCGGGACCCGGCTGCTCCACTTCCAATCCAGCTCTCTGCTGTGGCCTGGGAAAGCAGTAGAAGATGGCCCAAGTCCTTGGGCCCCTGCACCCACGTGGGAGACCCCGAGGAAGCTCCTGGCTCCTGGCTTCAGATCGGCACAGTTGCGGCCATTTGGGGAGTGAACCATCAGATGGAAGACCTGTCTCTCTCTGCCTCTCCTCTCTCTGTGTAACTCTTTTAAATAAATAAATAAATAAATCTTAAAGAAAAAAAAAAGAATCTTCCTCTTCACAGACACTCAGTGGAACCTCTCCACGTGAAGTAATAACGCTCATGGAGTTTGAGTGCAGCCACAAGTGACAGCTGCTGAAGCTTGGTGCTGGGGACCTGGTGCCCATCATGCTAGTCTGCTTCACTACATTCTCCATGGGAGGGGAAGAGGGGCAAGGCGTGACCCAGCCATTCAAATTCTCCAATTACTTCTCAACATTCATAAACATGGAGGCAGGTGTTTGGCACAGCCACTGGGCTACTGTTTGGAACGCACCCCTCCTGGGCTGACTCTCTTTCCAGCTTCTGCAGGAGGCAGCAGGTGACGGCTCAAAGAGCAGAGTCCCTGACACTCATGTGGACGCCTGGACGGAGCTCCTGGCTCCTCGCTGGGACTGGCCAGCCCTGGCAACTGCAGGCATTTGGAGAGAGAATCAGAAGATGAAAGATGGATCTTTCTTTCCCCCTCTGCCTCCCCTCCCCCCCCTCAAGTAAGTAAAAAATTGAAAGTACATAAAAATATGTGGAGACAGGCATTTGGAGCACTGATTTAGACTTGGCTCCGCCACTCTGCCTTTGAAGTGCATAAAAGTTAATAAACATTTTTTTTTTTTAAATAAAGGGATAAAAAACAAAACAGTATTGTGGCTCAGTGTGTTAAGCTGTTGTTTGGAATGCCTGCGACCCCTATCAGAGCGCCTGGGTTTGAGGGCTGGTTCTACTTCCGATTCCTGCTTCCTGCTAATGCACACTCTGGGATGCAGCAGGTGATGACCCATCAGCTTCATCACTGGCACCCACATGGGAGACCCAGAATGGTTCTGGGCTCCTAGCTTCAGCCTGCCCCAGTCCAGGCTATTGTCAGCATGTGGGGAGTACCTCAATGAACAGAAGATCCCTGTCTCTCCGCCTTTCTAGTAAGCTAAAAATAATTAAAAAAAAAAAAAAGCCCAGGACCTGTGCTACAGCGAAACGGGTTAAAGTCCTGGCCTGCGGCGCCTGCATCCCATATAGGCACCAGTTCAAGTCCTGGCTGCTCCACTTCCAACCCAGCTCCCTGCTAATGCGCCTGGGAAAAATCCAAAGCCAAGCCCACACTCACAAGGCCCTGCAGCATCTGCCTGGTCCCCTCACGCATGCTTACCTGCCAGCACTTTCTTCCTCCCCTCATTCAAGCCTCAACAGCTTCCTCACACTCCCGCTCCTGCCAGCCCCCTTGCTGGAAGCCACGTTCCTGACCCCTGAAAAGCTCTCTTCCCACCAGAACACAGCCTGATGAGGGCAGGGCCTCCCATGCTGCGGCACTCAGCACACTGAAGTGTCCAGGAACACACAGAGCTGGGTTCTGCCCAGTGATCACCTCCCTGCCCTCGGCACAGTGGGGTTTGCCATGACTTGAGCATTCCAGGCCAGCACAGGAACAGTGGGCAGCTGAGAGGGTGCGAGGCTCAGAAGCCCCGTGTCTCTCTCCAGGTCCCCCAGCTCCCTTTCCTCACATCCCCAGGAGCTTAAGAGTTTAGTTCTGTCCCTCATCGGAGAGCGCTGCCTGGGGCCGCCCCCAGGCCTCACAGTGAAGGCAGGCAGGACTGGCAGCCACCCACTCGCCCACCCATGTCAGGAGGAGCCTCCCCCTACCCTGGCCTGGAGCCTCATGGCCTCATTACAGGGAAGCCGTTCCCATTTTTCAGAGGGAGAAAACTGAGAGCTTCCGGCAGGCCACACCCACCCACCGGGAGTCAGCAGTCAGACCTGCTTCAGAGGCTCCCTCCAAGCTCAGCCCCGCCCGGCCAACAGCGCCCTGGCCTCAGGGCAGACCCGGATGCCCAGCTCAATGCCCAGCTCGGCCTGCGCTGTCCTCCCTGAGGCAGCCTGCTGCCTGACTCAGAACAGTCACCCCTGAGCAGCCACCGCCTCAAACAGGAAGCTGTCTGAGGACACAGGGCCAGCTCTGTGGGTGGGGCCCTCCACCCCAACACGCAGCACAGGTATCTGCAGTTCACCTGGACTGGGCGTGGAAGGTCAGGACAGGCACCGAGAGAGGACAGAGGGGAGCACTCTGGGCTGGAGCAGGCTCTGCAGATGGCCAGAGGACGACACCCCCAGGCCAAGGCCTGGTGCCGCGGGGCTGTGTCCACCTTCCTGCTTTCATGCCCACCTCAGCAGCTCCTCCCGAGTCCCCTGACTGCCAGTTTCTTGCACCTGAGCCTCCTGTCTTGGAGAACCTTTTCCCTGTGCACCTGCTGCTCCCACTGCCTCCTCCCTGCTCTGCACGTCCCCGTCCCAGCTCCTTTCCGTCTCAGCCCCCCCACAGGGGTGTGTTCCAGGTCCAGGGCACGGCTCTGTGTTGTCTTCAGAGCACCTGTCACAAGCTGGCGTTACACGTTATCACTTGCGAACTGTTTCACCCATTGTGATGTGAACCTCTCCAGGCCTGGGACTTTCTCCACCTGGTCTAATTGTGTCTTCAATGCCTAGAGTAGAGACTGGCACAGAGACACGGCTCACTAACGGAAGCTGGGTACAGGGCAAGCACACAGACCCTCCCCCTACAATGGGAGTAAAGCACAAACCCCCAGCCTGCCTCCTGTCCCCCACTGCCACCCACTGAAGCACTACCGCCACTACTCCTGCCAGACTCAACCTGATCACATCCTGCTGTGGACACGGCACACTCGGTTCACTCTGCCAGAAACACCATTCCCACTCCTTTTCCAGTTAGCGTGAGCCTGTCCGGGAGGCAGCACCTCCACAGGAAACAGGCTGGTCAGAGGGCTCCCATGGTCACATTACTGTGGCATCTGCCATACCTGCCCAGCTGGCCCCGCCCTCATCGGTCTCCCCTGCTGCCAAGGAGCCCAGATGCCACACCCAGCCCCTGAAGCCCCAGCCTTGCCCAACGTGGGAGAAGCAGGCACCAGGCACAATCTCTGGGGGGGGGAAGGGCCTGAGCACGAGCGTCCGCAGCACGGCCCTCCAACCCCGCATCCCACCCTTCGGCAGTCACCCCACGTCCAAGAGATTCCCCCGTTTCCTTGTCCACCCCTGCTCACCCTCCTCAACACGGCAACCCCGCCCAGAGCTCAGCACGCTCAACTTCTGCGTTACCGCGCCTCCTCAGCACACACCTGACAGCACAGGGGAGATGCCCAGTGCTGTCCTAAGCACCAGATAAACCCTAACTCTGGGGTTGACTGATCTTCCAGATGGGCTCAGAGTTCCCATAAAAGGAGCTATCAGGTCACATCACTCCCCTACTTAAAGCCCTGTGACAGCACTGGATGTAGTAAACAAAACCAACCCCCCACAGGCCCTGTGGCCTGGCTGCTTAGACCCCTGCCTGCTCCTCCAGCCGCCCCCTACTCACTGCACAGCTCCTATCATCCAAAGTGACCTTCAGCTTCCCTGGCAGGAAAAGCTGACGGGATGGTCAGCTGGTCAGCACCACAAAGGCAGGGCCTCACTGGGGCCTTGCGCCCACGGCATGCCACACCCCTGCCCAGGCAGACACCCTGCAAGTGTACTGGGTGCCCTCGCTCATTCCCTCGTGCAGCAACAGCCCTGGTTGTTTACTGATGCAGACGTGGAGGCACAGCGGGGTCCAGTCACCTGCCCAAGGTCAAACAGCTGACTCCTGTCCCAAGGCAAGGACACGCATCAAGCAGCCTCACCTGATGTCCTTGCTTTGCACCCCTGTGACACTCTACACCTGGACAACAAGGACTGCTGAGAGAGTAAGCCTGCACACGTCTGCTGAATGAACACAGGACATTCGGGCACGTGGCTGTCTGCAAAGGCTTCCTGGGAAGGGGTCACAGGACGCGACCGTGCAGCTACAGGCAGGGTGCAGACAAGACGGCAACAGGAAGGACAAGAGCTCTCCCGTGCCGGGTGAGTACTCTGCCAGGGATGCCACACCCTTCCATCTCTGGCTCTGCAGCACGTATCACGCGTTCCCAAGGCCCACAGCCGCCTACCACAGGTCACTTTGCCTTCCGAGCTGGGTCTGGAAGGCTCCTGCTGCTGCTGCTGCTGCTGCTGCTGCTGCTGCTGCTGCTGCTGGGGGGCAGCAGGGCCCCCTCTCCGCCGCCGCCGGGCGCCACCACTGGGCCGGCCCCTACTCCGTCGCTGCCGCTTGGTCGGGGGGGAGCCTGAGGAGAGACAGACGGGGCAGGATGAGGATCGGGATGGCAGGCAGCATGCCACGGAGAGCGGGAAGCTAGTCGGCGCCTCCAGAGCCACGGTGAATGGTGCAAGCCCCTCTACTCCCTTCCCAGTCCCCGTGGTCCTGCCTGGGAGAGCTGCCCCCCAAGCCCCCGAGATGGGCCACGCCAGGTGTGACCCTAGAAAGCCCTGCCCCTCACACCAGGTGACAAGCACAGCACCAGCCAGCAGGCACATCTACAGCTGTCACCATGTGTCTGACCAGAAGAAACGAGAACACAGAGGAGTTGCCAGGGTAGACAGTTCAGTGGAAGGAAGCGGATGCAAAATGAATGACAATTTGCTACAGTACACAGAGAAGACGGCAAATAAGATCTGTTTTCACAAGATCAATTAACCACTGAAGGAACAAACCGGAAATGAATGAAACAGGGGCCGGGGTGGTGGCACAGTGAGCCAATCTGTCACCTACAAAGCCAGCAACCCATACCAGAGCACTAGTTCCAGTACTGGCCGTTCCATTTCCAATGCAGCTTCCTACTAATGCACCTGGGAAGGCAGCGGAGAAGATGGCCCAAGTCACCCACGTGGGACACCTGAATGGAGTTCCAGGCTTCTGGATTAAGCCTGGCCCAGCCCACTGGCTTCAGACTGACCTAGGCCCACCTGTTGTGGACATCTGGGGAGTGAATCAGCAGATGGAAGGTCTCGATCTCTCTCTCCCCCTCTCCCTCTCTCCCTCGCTCCCTCTCCCTGCTCTCCCTATCACTCTGCCTTAATGAAATACAACAGAATAAAAAATAAGTAAACTAATGAAACTGACTACCTAACGGGAAAAATCATAGAAATAACATTTATTATTTTATTTTCTTTTAAAGATTTATTTGAAAGGTGGGGGTCGGGGGAGGGAGGGAGGGAGAGATGCGTCTTCCCTTTGCTGGTTCACTTCCCAGATGGCCACAACAGCAGGGGCTGGGCCAGGCTGAAGCCAGGAGCCAGGAGCTTCCTCCAGGTCTCCCCTGTGGGTGCAGGGCCCAAGGACCTGGGCCAACTTTCGCTGCTTTCCCAGATGCATTAGCAGGGAGCTGGACCAGAAGTGGAGCAGCCGGAACACATACAGGATGCCAACACTGCAGGCAGAGGCTCGGCCTTCCACACCATAGCGCCCGCCCCAGAAATAACATTTCTAAGAACATCTTTTTCTGTACTTTAAGTTTTTCCTTTTAAGTCATGTAGCAACTTTAAAGACTTAAAAATACACCATAAGATTACACACACAGAAACAAACAAACCTAACTGTATACATAATTGGTGACATATACACTCAGAAAAAAGAATTACTTCAAGTAACCAAAAGAACTTTCTGACCATAAACTCTCAGTGTCATGTGCTCAGAAACAGAGAACCCCAAATCAATTTTCTATTTCATTCAGAAAATAGCAGAGGCATCAACTTGATCACTTTGATGCAAGTTTATTACTGTTGTAAAATAAAGCAAATAAATGCATACCCCAATGTTATTAGTTGGGGCCAGCATTGTGGCACAGCAGGTAAAGCCATCGCCTGAGACCTCAGCAGCCTAGATGGGCACCAGTTCAAGTCCTGGCTGCTCCACTTCCTATCCTGCTCCCTACTAGAGGCCTAGGAAAAGCAGTGGAAGAAGGCACAAGTGTTTGGGCCCCTGCTACCTGTGTGGGAGACCGGCTGAAGCTCCTGGCGTTGGCTTGGCCCAGCCCTGGCTGTTATGGCCATCTGGAGAGCAAACCAGTGGATGGAAGGTATCTCTGTCTCCCCATCTCTCTCCATAACTCTTTCAAATAAATAAATCAATCTTAAAAAAAAAAAAAAAACTGGCCAGTGCTGTGGCATAGCAAGTAAAGCCACTGCCTGTGGCACCAGCATCCCATGTGGGTATTGGTTAGAGTCCCAGTGACTGCAATCCCAATCCAGCTTTTTGATTATGTGCCTGGGAAAGCAGCAGAAAATAGCCCAAGTGCTTGGGCCCCTGAACCTCCATGGGAGACACAGAAGAAGGTCCTGGCTCCTGGCTTCAGACTGGCCCAGCTCCGGCCATTACAGTCATTTGGGCAATGAATCAGCAGATGGAAGACGTCTCTGTCTGTCTGTCTCTCTTTCTAACTCTGCCTTTCAAGTAATAAATAAATCTTAAAAAAAAAAATTACAAAGAGCCAGATTACAAGTAGAAAACAAAATTCCTCTAATATTAATGTTGGAAGGCGAGCTCAAACATTAAATTAAAGTCTCAGCTCTGTTCACTGGCAGTGCCTAGAAACAATACACACACTCAGCTCCCAGATGCTGGCCACGACGTATCATGGCTCCCAGAAGAAACCAGGCTCCAAGGAAGAGCTGATTCTAGGGCTAGGAGATAGAGTTCAAGGTAAGCCCAGCACATCTTGCAGAGCCACAAAGCAGGAACCACTCAAAGGATGGAGACAGGTCAAAAAGATAGAGGCTAGCCAATTGGAACCTTGGAAGGAGTGCCTAGTTGACTACGACAAATAAGCAGTTATGTGTGGGGTAGGTATTTAGCCTAGCAATTAAGACACTGGTCAAGATGCCTGCCTCCCATGTAAAAGTCCCTGAGTTCAACACTGGCCTTGGGGGCCGACGCTGTGGCGCAGGTATCCCATATGGGTGCGGGTTCAAGTCCCAGCTGCTCCTCTTCCGATCCAGCTCTCTGCTGTGGCCTGGGAAAGCAATGGAAGATGGCCCAGGTCCTTGGGCCCCTGCACCCACACGGGAGACCCAGAAGAAGCTCCTGGCTCCTGGCTTCAGATCAACACAGCTCCACCCATTGTGGCCATCTGGGGAGTGAACAAGCAGATGGAAGACCTCTCTCTCTGGCTCTACCTTTCTCTGTAACTCTTTCATATAAATATAATAAATCTTTTAAAAAAAAAGTACTTGGCTGGAGCCGCGGATCACTAGGCTAATCCTCCGCCTTGCGGCGCCGGACACCAGGTTCTAGTCCCAGTCGGAGCGCCAGATTCTGTCCCGGTTGCCCCTCTTCCAGGCCAGCTCTCTGCTGTGGCCCGGGAGTGCAGTGGAGGATGGCCCAAGTGCTTGGGCCCTGCACCCCATGGGAGACCAGGATAAGTACCTGGCTCCTGCCATTGGAATAGCACGGTGCACCGGCCACGGTGGCGGCCATTGGAGGGTGAACCAACAGCAAAGGAAGACCTTTCTCTCTGTCTGTCTACTCTGCCTGTCAAAAAAAAAAAAAATTACTGGCCTCTGGGAGCTGGCGTTGTAGCATAGTGGGTAAAGCCACTTCTGATCCAGCTTCCTGCTAATATGCCTGGGAAAGCAGCGGAAAATGGCCCAAGTGCTTGGACCCCTGCCACCCACATGGAAGACCTGAAAGAATCTCCTGGCTCCTGGATGTGCTAATTTGGGAAGTGAACCAGTGGATGGAAGATACGTCTCTCTCCCCCCACGCCCTCTCTGTTAACTCTGCCTTTCAAATGAATAAATTCTTTTTTCTTTTTTAGATTTTATTTATTTATTTGAGAGGTAGAGTTACAGACAGTGAGAGGGAGAGACAGAGAGAAAGGTCTTCCTTCCGTTGGTTCACTCCCCAGATGGCCGCAACGGCCAGAGCTCCGCTGATCAAAAGCCAGGAGCAGGAAGCTTCTTCCAGGTCTCCCGTGCCGGTGCAGGGGCCCAAGCACTTGCACCATCTTCTACTGCTTTCCGGCCATAGCAGAGAGCTGGAATGGAAGAGGGGCAGCTGGGACTAGAACCGGTGCCCATTTGGGATGCCGGCACTGCAGGTGGAGGATTAACCTACTTCTCTACAGAGGCAGCCCCATAAATAAATTCTTCAGAAACAAACAAAAACTGGCATCTGGCTTCTTCCTGACTCCAGCTTCCTGCTAATGGAGACCCTTGAAGGCAGCAGTGATGGCTCAAGAATCTGGGAGACCTGGATTGAGTTCTGGCTCCTGGCTTCACCTTGGCACAATCCCAGCCACTGCAGGCATTCGGGGAGTAAACAGCGGATGGAGTGAGCACACGCTCTGCCTCTCAAGTAAATGAACAGAAAACTTCACAAACATGAATCATGTGTGAGTCCATAATGATACCCAAGAAAAAGAAACAAAGAGAAGAAGAAAGGGAAACTACTCTTAGAAGAATTCCAGGTAAAAGAAGTAGAAAAAAAATCAACGTTTGTGATCACCAATGTAACAACCGGTGCAGGCAGGGCTCACCAATGGATGGTAAACCCACAGGGTGAACAGAATGTGTCAGCGTCATCCCCTAGACAGGAGAGAAATGTGCCCCTTTACCATGGACATCACTTAGCCACGCTCGGGGGGACACCAGGCCTCACAGCATCAACCAAGGAGTGTTGCTGACAGAACAGGAAACCTGAAACTCCTCTAACCAAGCCCCAGACCTACTTCCCACTCCACGGGAGAGAGAGGGGACCGAGGGACAAGCTAAATGATACCACCAGAAAACAATCAGACACACCCAGAAACAATCAGGACATCTACCACACTGGCCTGCGGGAACAACAGGGCAATTTCACAGAAATAAAGAAAAAGGTCCCGGGTGGAGGAAGTGTTTGTCTGTTTTTCAGGAAGAGATGAAGGAGACATAACAAGCAGACACCTAACTCACCTGCGAGAGACCTGGACAGTTCAGACAAATCTTACAAGAGATCGGAAAATGGACCAGTAAGGCATCAGAGAAGTATTTATTTTCTTAGTTACGACACTGGTCTGGAAGCAGGGACAGGGCAATGCCCTCCTTCTCAGATGCCTGCTGACCCAGGGTCAATCTACTATTGTCTTTACTTTACTTAACAAAGGTACACATCCACAGGTAAAGCAAAGTGGCAACATGGTTACAGCCTTTGAATTTAAGCAAAGATGTTCAATCTACGAATCTGTTTCTCTGTGCATTTCAAATTTTTCATAAGGATGGTGCTGTGGCGTCACGGGTAAAGCTACAACCCCAGGCACTGGTTCGTGTCCCTGCTGCTCCACTTCCGATCCAGCTCCCTGCTAATGCATCTTGGAAAGCAGAAGATGGCCCAAGTGCCTGGGCCCCTTGCCTGCCACGTGGGGGACCCAGATGAGGCTCTTGCCTCCTGGCTTCAGCTTGGCTCAGCCCTGGCTGTTGCAGCCACTTGGGGAGTGAACCAGCAGATGAAAGATTTCTCTCCCCCTCTCTTTCAAGTAAATAAATATTTTTAATTAACATAATTTAAAAATGGGAGAGGCTGAATACGTTAATCCAATTAAAACAAACCAATCAGAGGCATTCACCATGAATCAGTCTCAGAAAGGCATCCAGCAAACACAGCTGTGGAGTGACACCCACAGTGTGATGCCAGTAAACAGCGTGGGAAACCCCGTGAAACTACTCAGTCTGCCGCTTCGGGACACGGGATTCCATGGCAACGATAAACACACACAACACATGCAAGCAGCTTCTAGAAAGAGACAGAATGACCCCTCCGGCCACGCCCGGGTGGGCCAGATCAGGGAAGTCCATCAGGACGCACCATGAGGAGAGGGGCGCTAACACGGTGCCCAGCCGCGGGGCTCACCTGTCTCCCACTGCCCCTGCTGAGACTCTGAAGAGCTGCTCGACTGCCGGCGGCGACCACAGCTGCCCTCCGTCCTCTTCGAAGAGGAGCCGGACGTGCCGTAGCTGTAGCGCTCCGGAGACACTGGAGGAACAGAGGAATGGGAAGAAGCATTCGCAGCCTCCCGCCCTCCCAGGCCCGGCCCCCAGTGCCCACCCAGAGGTCAGAGCTCAGACACCCACTCCTCCCACTCATCACCCCGTGGGGCACCCAACCCAGGTCTCCAGCAACAGCAACTGTCAGGGCTGCTCTGCCCTCAAGGCCAGGTTCCCCGCAGGGCCCCATCATCCACCCAGCTCTCCTCGAGAATCCTGCCTGCAGGCCCGAATCTCCCCTTCCACAGCCTGACCCCCAAGTTCTTCCAAAACACTGTCAGCCTTCCCTAAAACTGCCCCTCTCTGGGTTATCTAAATCCCACCGGCTTACTCTGGCCCAGGAAAGCCCATAATCCACCCCTCCCCTCCAGTGACCCAGACAAGGGCTCAGCAGCCTGAGCAACCCTTCCGGCCCCTGGGCCTGCCTGCCCCCAGAAGCACTTCCCTCCCGGGGACTAAGGGCCCCGCATCTCCTAGCTATGCTACCTGCAAGCCCCTTAGCGCCCAGCTCCTCACCCGAGTGTGTGCCGGGCTTAGATGCTTGCCTCTCCCTCTGCCTGGAACTCCTAAGATCTGTGCAGGGCTGCAGTGCGGGCTCAGCTCAGCCGTCACCTTCTCTGAAAGGCGTTCAACGCTCATCCCACCTGGCGCAGCCTCTGTTCCCTCTGTTGCACTCCCCACTGTCTCTATTCTTTCAAGCTTCCTAAAACCACCTCAAAACAAGTTCCTCGTCTGTTTTACTGGCTGGTTCCCCACTAAATACAAATTTCATGAAACACACACCTCAGCCCCACCACCCTGTGTCCACACCTACGAGGGCAAACTGCCTCTCTGAGCAGGGTCTTTCCTGCCCCTGCACAGCGGGGCCAGCGCAGGACTGAGGACGTAAGGGGCTGGGCCACCACCGTGCCCTCCACTACGGTGGTCACAATCTTTATTACCGATGCAGCCAAATTCCACAAGCTCACCCCTCCCAAAGCCTTGTCTCCTCCCTCTCGCGTCTCTCACTGGCACTGCTGGGAGGACTGGAGCTGTGGGATGGACAGACAAGACCACAGCGGGGCCCTGCGGAAGCCTGCCCCCCCACTCGCCCCTACCTGGTCGGCGCCGCTTGCGCGCCAGGTGCGGCAGCAGGTCATGGCGGGCCAGCACGCGCAGGAGTTGCCCCAGCAGGCGCAGGTTGCTCTCGTCGCACTGCCCACGACGCTCCAGCTCCAACAGCAGCTCCAGACCGCTGCGGGCGCGGGCCAGGCCTCCGGCCGCCCCGGGGGCCTCGTCCAGCAGGAAGGCCAGGAGCTCCAGCTCGCACTCGGTCAGTTGCCCGCCCACCACCTCGAACATACGGTGAAGCGACAGCATCCCGTAGTAGTCTAAGCACTCATCCTCCTCCCAGCTCGGGGCCGGGGTCGGCCCGGACAGCGCCATTACCGGGGGAGGGGTGCAGGACAAGCTCAGAACCAGGGCCTAGAACCCACACGGCGAGAAGAGGGCACGGTGGTCAGCGACGCAGGGGCACGGACCTCGCACCGGTCAGAGCGAGCCCCCCCGCCCCGCGCCGCAGGGCAGGGCCGCCCCCGCACCTCCAACCGTCTCGGCCTCCCCCTCCCCCGGGACGGAGTGGTATCATCCGAGGTCCCCTAGTAACAGGTCGAGACGCCGGACCCCGCTCCTCCGCCGACCAGTCCGGCCGGCCTAGCCCGAACGCCCCTCCCCAAGTGGTACGTTCCGTACTGGTCTCCAGACCGACCCAGCGATTCGGCCCGAACCAGCCCCAGGGCCCATTCCAAAGCACCCCGTCTATCGCCCCGACTCTGAGCACTGCTGTCCGGACATGTCCCTCGGCTCGGTCCAGCAGTACCGTGCGACTGGCCCCACAGCCCCACCCAAGTGGCCCCCTCCAAGTGGGACCGACCGAGGCAGCCCTACGTCCCGCACAGGTGGTACCGTCCGAACCCCACTCCCTCGCCCCGACAAGGGCGGTCCCGGCTTCTCCCCAGGGCCCCGGGGGTTCCGTCTACCCCGCCACCAGTCGCCCTTAGGCCTCGCCCGATCCTCACCGGATTCCGGCGTCCGAGGACTCCCGGGCGACGGCCGCAGCCACTTGTTTTGGATCTTTCTGGCACCTTCTCTATTATTACGCCTGCGTCATCTCGCCCCTCCTCCGCCTCCCAACTCGCGCAGGTGCGACAGCCACGCCCCGTGCGCGCAGGCGCAGAATGAAGCCTCCTAGCACCGCCCCTCCCGGGCCGCCTGACCCGCCCCCAACCGAAGCTTCCTGGCCCGCCTGTGCTGCGCATGCGCAATCGGAGAGCTTAGCCCTGCGCCGCCGCTGGGCTGGGTCCTGCACCTTGGGGGCAGGGTCCCCGCTTCCAGCCGATCACTTGAGCCACCAGGTCCTGGTTGCCCCCACATCACGCCGTATTAGGATGACTCATCTCACGGAGCGCAGCACCCCTCCTGATCACCACCTAGACTCCCACATTTACTCCTGCCCTTGCTGCCCATGGCAAAGGGCCTTCCCAACTCCCCAGCTGCGCCCACTGGACCCTCCCCCACTCTTCATGGCAGCCAGGAGCCTGCTTCTTAACTGTGGGGGCTCAGGACCCCGACCGGGGAACCCCACCTCCACCCTCTGATGGAGACCAGGAATCGCCCATCTCGGGTTCGAGACAAAGCGCAGTGAACCCCGCCGTCCCGACTAAACCTCCCGGTGGCGCTCACCACGACTCCCCCAGGCACAGGGTCGGCGTGGACCCCGCAGTCGGAGTCACACAGTCGCGCCCTCCCCAGCCTGCACTGAGGAGCCTGGGTCCGGCGGGGGGACCCGCGTCCCCGGGCCTGCGAATGCTGCCCCCACTTAGTGACTCAAGGTCGAGTCGTGTCCCCTCCCCGGAATTATTTCCGCCTGGGAGGCGGCAGACGTGACTGCTGCTTGGGGTGCAGGGCTGTACTAGGAAGAGCCCCTCCCTCCCCTCTGGGCCTCAGTTTCCCCATGAACGCCTGCGGGATGGCCCCTGGCCGGACACGGAGCGGGCGCCTCCTCGGGGAACGGGAAAGCGACCTCGCCGACTGCGGCGAGCATGGCCGTGTTCGGTGGGTTCTGTCGGGCCCTCTGCCGAGCCCTTTTCCGTGTGTGGTTTCATTCCATCCCGTCAACGGCTTCTGACGTGGATGTGAGTCCGCAACACAGGCCCGGAGAGAGGAAGTACCCCACGTGTGTCTGGCCCCAGAGCCAGTCTCTCCAGCCGACCTGACACACTCTGATCGCGCCCACCGCCCCGGGCCCACGGGCGCCCACTTCTTTCGACTGAACTTTCGGCAGCGAAGGAGCGGCCCGGGAGAACTGCGCAGGCGCCGCGCCTCGGCCCGGGCCCCGCCCACAGGGCACGACTGTGTGCGTGGAGAAACTCGCAGAGCCCCACCTGAGGGCCAACGCGCAGGCGCAAGGGCGCGTGCCCTCCGCTGCCGGTTCTGATTGGCTACTACGGGTAAAGGCGCCGCCCAATGGGAGGCGTGGATAGTGAGGGGTCCCACACGCCTGGAACCGAGGGTCTGTGTTGAGAGCGGCAAGGGGCTGCTGGAGGCGAAAGAGACGGGTGAGGGCGCCGCGGGACGGGCCCGGGAAGAGCGCGCCGGGCGTGCGGAGAGGGCAGAGGGAGAACGAGCCGGACACTCGGGGTCGGAGGAGCCCTGAGGCCTGTTCCAGGGCGGAGACAGTGCGGGGTGGAAGGAGAGCGCCCTGGAGCGTGGTGTGCAAGACCCCGCGCTTGAGCCTGCTCCCTCGCCCGCAGCCCTGAAGGAGGGTCTCAGGCTGGTAGGAGAAAAGGGTTGTGGAGCGGGAAAGTTGAACTTCCAGGCCCCCTGGCTGGTTCTTTCCTGGAAAGACGCCGATCTACTGTACGAAAAGCCCCCAGCCCTCTCCCCCCCAGAGTTCACACTCCCAAGACTGGCGACGAGGAGGGTCTCCCGGGTCATCTCCTACAGAGGCATCTGTTGGGTACCCGGGAGTTCTCTGGAGCAGAGCTTGAACACGGAGAAACGGTTCTTGGGTCCCCGAGTCCCTGCTTGGCGGGATGACTCTCGTGTGCGGGACCCTGGCAACTCAAAAAAAAAAAAAAAAAGTTAGCGAGGGAGGGCATGGGAAGAGGTAGACGAGGGGAGTTTAGTTCCTGGACTTTCAGGGACTCCTTTATCCAGGGAGAATGCATTGCGCACCAGCTGAATCCGGGGCCGTTTGTTAGGCCGCGTACTGTGGGAAGTCGCTGCCTCACGGGACAGTCGGGCGGGGGGATGTGGAAGGCGCACAGGGACGGTGGTGATGCCCAGGGGGCGTGGCTGTCGCACCTGCGCGAGTTGGGTATCTGCCCGGTGCCGGCTGTGTGCTAGGCCTGTGCGTGGCCGTGGAAGTTCCTCCCTGTTGGCAACTCCTGCTCTGCAGGGCTTAAGCCACTCTCCCCATGCCACACCCCCCCCCCCCCCACAGCGCTAGCTGAGGTGAAGAAGAGATAACCAAGGTGGGGGGGTTGCATCCAGCTTTCCCAAGCTGGGGAGGGAAGCAGGCGTTTGCTGAGCGGCCTGCCAGCTCCTGTGCGAAGGGGTCTGGGTTGGTCAGGTGCACACAAGCAGGGCTGGGGGAGACGAGGCGAACGGAGGGAAGTTTGAAAGCTCAGATCCCTGTCCCTGGTCAGTGGCTTTGTTGGCGACTGAGATCCCCCACACACACTGAGTCGGCCCAGTTCGGTCCAGTGAGACGGCATCCCGAGCCCGTGGTGTTTGTTGTGATGGAAGTGGCCCAGGATACCGTCGGATCCCTCAGAGCAGGCCTGGGTAGGGAGAGGCTGGGTGGGAGTCCGCTAGACCAGAAGAGGGGAGGACTTCCCTGACGGAAGGGACAGAGGCATTTCTGAATTAAGTAATGGTTACAGCTGCCCTTTATAAAGTACCAGGGCCTCTGTGGTCAGCACTGCTGGGAACCCCATCTCATAGGTGAGGGAGCAGTCTCGGAGAGCGCCGGTAAGTGGGGGGCTCCCATTCAAGCTGGGCAGAGTTTAGCTGGGGGGCCTTGCTCTTAAACGCACGGGCAGAGGCTGGGAGGTGGGGGAGACGTGTGTTCTCAGCGGCTCTGAGAGTGAGGACAGCCTCGGACGCGGGCTGAGGCGTGCTGTCTCCGCTGCAGGTGCCTGGCTGCCATGGGCTGTGTGTAGGCGTCAGAGACCCAGGAGGCGTAAACGTCGGATTCAGACTTCGGTGGTTAGAGGCTGGTGAGTAGTGGGCTGAGCAAAGGAACCCCTGTCCTTGGGTGCCTGGCGTGTCACAGGCTCCTGCCCCTCTGTGCAGGCCATGGCAGAGGTAGCAGCCGAGGTGGCCGAGATGCCAACGCAGATGTCGCCAGGGACGGTGGAGCTGTCGGCACTGATGTCAGCAGAGGTGACTGAGATGACGCCCGGCGAGGCCCTCGCCTCGTCCCTCTTCTTCCAGCACCACCAGTTCATGTGCTCCGAGTGCGGCGGCCTCTACAACACACTGCAGGAAGTCCTCTCGCACCAGGAGCAGCATGTGCTCGGCTCCGAGGAGGAGGCGCTGAGCACCCAGGAAGCTGGCCTGCAGCCGGAGCTCGTGCCCGACACCGAGGAGGGGCCTTTCCAGTGTGGCGAATGCAGCCAGCTCATCCTCTCCCCCGGCGAGCTCCTGGCCCACCAGGATGCCCACCTCCGGGAATCTGCGAGCCAGATCCAGTACCAGTGCGGGGACTGCCAGGAGCTGTTTCCCTCACCTGAGCTGTGGGTGGCTCACCGCAAGGCTCAGCACCTTTCTACGACAGCAGTGGAGCCACCGGTGCCACCTCCTCTGTCTCCCTCCACCCCACCGCCGCCACCCCCTCCACCACCCGAAGTCAAGATGGAGCCCTACGAGTGTCCCGAGTGTGCTGCCCTCTGTGCCACACCGGAAGAGTTCTTGGAGCATCAGGGCACCCACTTCGACTCCTTGGAGAAGGAAGAGCGCAATGGCTTAGAGGAGGAGGAGGAGGATGAAGACGAGGAAGAAGACGATGATGACGAGGAGACAGAGGGGGAGGAGGGAGCAGGGGCAGAGGTCACCGATGATGCCTTGGGAGGTGACAGGTCCACAGCTGGCCAGGCCCAGGGCTGTGGGGATTGTCCCCAACGCTGTACCTCATCGGGGGCACGCCGGAGACTCCGACGGGCATCTCGCGGCCCAGCATCAGCCTCCCACCCCTACCACTGCAGCCAGTGCCAGCGCAGCTTCAGCTCAGCTAACCGGCTGCTGGCTCACGGGCGGGCCCACGTGGGCGGCACACACGAGTGTTCGACCTGCTCCAAGGTCTTCAAGAAGGCGGCCTCCCTGGAGCAGCACCTGCGGCTGCACCGCGGCGAAGCCCGCTACCTGTGCGTGGACTGCGGCCGCGGCTTCGGCACAGAGCTCACGCTGGTGGCGCACCGGCGGGCCCACACTGCCAACCCATTGCACCGCTGTCGCTGTGGCAAGACATTCAGCAACATGACCAAGTTCCTCTACCACCGGCGCACTCACGCTGGCAAAAGCGGGGCTCCCCCCAGCACTGCGACAGCCTCCCCAGCTCCAGCTGAGCCCACCCCGCCTCCACCGCCCCCAGCCCCGGCCCCGCCAGCCCAGCTGCCTTGTCCACAGTGTTCCAAGTCCTTTGCCTCAGCCTCTCGGCTCTCCCGGCACCGGCGTACGGTACACGGGCCCCCCGAGCGGCGGCACCGCTGTGGCATCTGCGGCAAGGGCTTCAAGAAGCTGGTGCATGTGCGCAACCATCTGCGGACCCACACAGGCGAGAGGCCCTTCCAGTGCCACTCGTGTGGCAAGACCTTCGCTTCTCTGGCCAACCTCAGCCGGCACCAGCTGACCCACACAGGTGTGCGGCCCTACCAGTGCCTGGACTGCGGCAAGCGCTTCACACAGAGCTCGAACCTGCAGCAGCACCGGCGGCTGCACCTGCGGCCAGTCGCCTTCGCCCGTGCCCCCCGCCTCCCCATCACCGGCCTCTACCACAAGAGCCCCTACTACTGCGGTACCTGCGGCCGCTGGTTCCGAGCCATGGCGGGCCTGCGCCTGCACCAGCGGGTGCACGCCCGAGCGCGGACGGCCGCGCTGCAGCCTCCCCGGTCACCACCTCCCGCCCCGACGCCGCCGCCCGAGCCCCAGCAGACCATCATGTGCACGGAGCTGGGGGAGACCATCGCCATCATTGAGACGTCCCAGCCGCTGGCGCTGGAGGACACGCTGCAGCTGTGCCAGGCTGCGCTGGGGGCCAGTGAAGCCAGCGGGCTGCTGCAGCTGGACACGGCCTTCGTGTGAGCACCGAGGGGCAGCAGCAGAAGGACTGGGTTGTAGCCACGAGGGTGGGGGCCTCTGGCGAGAAAGAGGACCACCCCTCTGGCAAGCCAGGGTGGCCCGACTGTGTGACAGGTTCTGCCCTGGCCTCTGTACCCACCGGCTCCTCAGAGCGGCCCTGGGAAAGTGAGGCTCTAGGAGGCCAGGCGATGGCCCCAGGCCGCCGGGCCGCGTCGCAAAGCTGCGGCTTGCCAAGGCTCTTTGGCACTGCGTCACCCTGGTGTCCTACAATGTGAGGTATCCTTTACCAAGCACCAGCCGTGTGCCAGGTCTGCTGGAAACGCTCCCGTACCTCTTCCGACGCTCTGCTTGTCCCCCGGCCCTGGCCTCCCCTGGACTTCAGGCCCCCAGGACGTGGCACTCTCTGGGCCTCCTTCCTCTCAAGTTTGACAAGGCAGAGGGAAAGCTGTCCTCGCTCACTCAGCCCCGGACTGTGTGATGCTGGGACCCGGGGATGACTGAGCCTGGAGCTCTGCCCCTGGAGGCGTGCGGCGCCCGGTGGGAGCAGCACCCACAAGTACAGATGGCTTGCTCTCTGCGTGTGTCTCATTCATTCACTCAGACCCCAAGTCCTGAGGCGTTCCTGCCACGTGCTGGGCAGTGCTGGGGCTAAGACACTGAGGCCCAAGGATTCTCAAGGCTGTGATGGGGACGGGCAGGGTCAGTGGTGATGCCTGAGTAGGAGACAAACCTCCCTGGCGGCAGATGAGGGAGACTTCCTAGTGGGAAAGGAAGGGAATGTGCCAGGAAGACAGCACAAGAGGGTGAGGGCTTGGTGTTTTGGAGACGATCCAGTTATTCACAGAGCAGACCCTTGGCTGCCTGGCTTGGTGCTGCCCACGCGCAGTGACCCTGACAGGCCTGAGGCAGATAGCAGCCCCGCTGCACAGATGCAAACACTGAGGACACAGACCTGCCCCGATGCTCCCGGCCAGGCAGAGGCACAGCAGATGCCAAGGGGGCCGTCAGCGTGACTTTACCAGTGCTGCTGTCGAGTGACTCAGAGCTGAAACCCACGCAGGGCGTGGAGTCAGGACTCATTCTAACTGGAGGAGTGAGCCTGTGGCTCAGAGCAGCTAGGCTTTGAGGAGGCCTTGAAAGATCAAAGGTTTGGGCGCAGGAAGGGATCTTGTCTCCCCAAGGCCGCCTGGGCTAACAATGCAGACGGTGCAGGCGCCGCGTGGCCGTTCAGTAGGGCTGGCCGCTCCCTGGCCTCTGCAGGCCCGCAGTGCTCAGGCGGGGAGGGAGGCCCTAGTGGAAGGCCTTGAGAGGGCCGAGTAGTTCCGTGCGGTGCAGTCGGGAACCGTGATGGGTGTTAGTCTCCCTGGGTCAGAGCAGGCTGAGCGGGGGGATCCAGGAGGGACAGGGATGCCCTCCGACCCCATGGGTGACCAGATGTGAGCAGCAAGGCAGGAGTCCCCAGGAGTCTGATGTCTACCCCTTGTCCAACCTACCTGCTCTGTTGAAGTTACAAACAAGGTGAAGTGTGTGATGGTGTAGAGCAAGATAAGGAAGGGGTCTTGACTCTGAAAATGCCACTGGGCCCCCACAAGCCTTTCACCTCCCCCGGAACGACCTTGCAACTCTGCCTTTTGCTCACCAGTGGGATCCTAGGATGGCGTGTCAGCTGCTCCCGACCAGGCCCCATCCACCCTGGGGCCTCCTGCTCACACCCAGTGCTTGGACCCAGGAGAGGACAGTTTCCTTCCGTGCTGTGGCCCCTACAGCTGGCCCCAGCATGCTTTAAAAGTGAGGGGAGGGCACCACGGAGCCACGCTCCCTTGCTCACCCTTTCCAGGCCGTTGCTTCTCAGCATCCTCAAGATGGACCAGATGGGTGCTGTGTAAAACGGCATGAAGGCCCGCGGATGTTGGGGTTCTGGCCCGGCCTGAGACCACGAGCAGGCTGCATTGTGGCCGGGTGACCCCTCATCGTTCTGTGTCTCCTTGCACCCTGGAGCAGCAGGCAGCTCAGGCTGACACAGCTCTTGCTTCAAGTCCTGACTACCAGTGTGCTCTTCGGCCTTGACCTCCCACCCCCAGTTCTCAGTGTGCACTGGGTGCTGACCCCTCCCCTAAGCCAAAACAGATGCTTTATGCTCTTGGGGGCGGACCTCTCCCAGGCCCCTACCATGGATCCGTGCAGAGGAGAAAGCGAAGGCACAGGACAGTCAGGCACCTCGGCCCCCCACCCTCCCCTCCTGAGACACAGCACATGCTTGTCCCAGAACAGCGCACAGGTACCCCCTCACCTCAGTGAAAGGCGCAGCCAGACAGGAAGCCAGGTTTTCATGCCAATAATTTATTGAACGGAGGTCTGTACACAGGCAAACCTTACTGTGGAAACTAAGACATCAGGAGCCCTCCCCGCTCCCCTGGCCCTCCAGGGTGTGGAGAGGAGGGAGCAGACGCTGGGGCAGAGGACAGGAGGGGACATACGGCTGTAGGAGGGGAGGGGCCAAGTTGGATGGTGCGAATCGACGTTTTCTTTAAGAAAAAAATTATAACAATCTATTTACACCCGGGGGCCAGGGAAGGGGAGAGGAGACGGGCTGGGCTGGTTCTATTTACAAGGGACACAGGAGGGGCAGGGGCTGGAGGAGGTGGAGGCCTGGGGAGGGGGCCAAGGGGGCAGAGGTCCTCATACCCCCACACCCCTGTCCTTCCTTCTCTTCCCTCCCCACGACCAGTTAAAATCCTCTTAAAAAGCCACCCCAGGGTCGAGGCTGCCGAGGGAGGGACTGGAGGTGGCAACAGGGACTCATTTACCTCTGCCCTCTAGTCTCAGGGCCCAGCCAGGGCAGGAGCTCGATGGGCTATGGCCCCCTTCCCAGCCCCACTTGGGGCTCCCAGATGGAAGTGGAAAGGTGGCTGGAGGGGCCCTCAGGACGAGTTAGAGAGGGTAGGTGTGGCTTCGGACGACTGCCAGTCTGAGCCGGTCTGAGCCTCGGTTAAAGCTGAAGGGGGGAGGGAAGGAGCAGACAATTAGCGTTGGCCTTCCAGGGCCCCTCCCACCAAAAGTGGCTACACGGACCGGAACGCTGCCACCTCGGGGCCGGGCCGTCTGAGGGCTGAATGGTGGCAGCGGGACTCCATCGGGAGGAAAGGCAGGCCCAGAGCCACCCACTATGATTTGCTTCCCCAACAAAATACAGGCAATCTGGATTCGTACACAAAATGGCCCAGTTTTTAACTCTGAGCGACAAGTTCGACAAATTCAACTTTCTGTACTTCTGTGGCTTTGCAGTCAGCACACAGCACACCCAGAAAGGTGGCCATTGCCAGCTCTGAGACGCGCTCGGCACCGTCGGAACTCTGGCTCAGAGACAGCTACGGGGAGCTGTGGCACTGTGGGCACCGCTTACCCCTCAGCAGCCGGTCCCAGCTTACCTTGTGAGGACTGGGAGAGAGGGGTGGAGCCCGCCGGGGACCTCAAGTGAGGAGGGATGAGGATGGCATTGAGAGATGGCTGGATGGAGAGTTCTAGAGACAGGAATCGACACGCCCAGTCAGGGTGGAAGCAGCCATCTGGAGACCATGCAGGGTTACGATGGGATCCCTACTGGGCACCCAGCTCTTGGCAGGGCCAGTTCGTGGACACTCAGCCACTGAACTCTAAGCAGCACACTCAGCGGAAGGGAACTGAGGCCATCTTCCCAGAGCCCCGGCTTGCGCTGCACCCTCACGCAGCTCGCCGGTCGTGTTTTCAACACCCAGCTCTTCTCCCCCAACCTCTGCTGTCCCCCCACGGTTCCCCACCCCCTGCTGCACCCTCACCGGCAGGACTGAAGTTGAAGAGAGGGGGGAGCGGGCGGTTGTTGGGGAGCTGGGTTCCGAGACATCGCAGTTCATCGAAGAAGCTGTGGGCGCAGGCCTCTAGCGGGGAGAGCCGTGAGGACGGCGTGTACTCCAGCAGGCTGGAGCAGAGCGCGATGGCCTCAGGCGGCGTTCGAGATTTGAACACCTGGGGCGAGGGGGCAGGGGGCGCGGGGCCACAGGTGAGCGCTGCCACAGGCACTGGCACCCCTGTGCCTCACTGCCACTGTTCTCGGCAGACCTGACGACGAGCTCCCCGAGCCCATCTCCCAGTGAGGAAGTCGGGGAAGTCTGTCTGTATCGGGTGAGCAAGCTGGCCCCGGCACCGAGACACTGAGCCCTGCTGTGAGCCTGTCACCCACCAAGAAAAGGGGAACCTTGGAATGTACTTGTGCGTCCTCAACTTTTAAAATTCTACCTACTCTGAAATCATGGGAGCGGCTGACCCCTCCCAGGATAACTTCGCACCCCCCCTCCCGAGCTATGATTCTGAGGCCAGTAGGCCAAAGGGGACCCACCCTTCTGCCAGGCTGCCCAGGTCCCCAGCCCTGCCCCACCTTTGTCCAGGGATGAGCTTTAATCTGGGGGAACTTGAACTCTGTGTAGTTGGGGTTCATCTCTCGGATTTGTTCCCGGGTTGGTGTTCCCAGCACCTGCAGGAAGAAGACGGGGACTGAGGCCTGGCCCCATCCCTCAGCCCCACCCGCTGCCTACCCTGGCACCATCCTCACCTTGATAATCTCCACGAGCTGGTCCACCCCACTGTCCCCAGGGAAGATGGGCTGGCCGAGGAGGAGCTCAGCCAGCACGCAGCCAGCTGACCACACATCTGCGGGGAGTGGGTAAGGGTCAGAGCTCGGCGAGCAGGGCCGCTGCGCCCATCCCCTGACAAAGGCTTCCATCCCTCAGGCCACCAGAGAGAGGCCAGGAGCCCCATTCGCTCAGCTCGGCAGAGATGAGGCATCCGGCCCAAGGTAACACGTTTCAGGAGCCCTGGGCACGACCTTGAGCCTCCAGATCCGTGCAGCTTCTCTGCACCTCCAGTCGGCTTGGTCCCAGCCCTCACTGCCTCTGCTCACCAAACCCAGCCAGCCCTCTCTCTGCGCTGTTAGCCTGCAGACACCGAGGCCCACACCTGCCCGTGGCACCTTTGTTCTCCAGGCCAGAGATCCCTGCCTTCCTCACCTGCCGCCCAGGGGAGGAGCTGTAACCCGGCACTCTCACCCCTCCCTAGTACCTTGACCCTCAGGGCGCAAGGTCACACCTAAGAAGCACCAAGTCCCTCACACTGCTGATGAATGCCTGTCAAACCCTCTTGCCCACCACCTTTTCTTGGCCTTCCCCCATCCTGAAAGGTGGCACTGTCATCCTCAAACAGGTGAGGACATACAGGCCCTGGAAGCAGGCACGCCCTCGTGGTGGCAAAGTCTCACCTCCGGCTTCCCCCAAGGTCCCCGCCAGCCAAGAATGGAGAGCTGACCAGGGGGTTCCAGAGACGGGAGGGGCTCTGGAATCAGGTCAGCTTTCAGATCCCAGCCCTGCACACTCCCAGTGGTGCAGTGGCCGGCAGGGGCCTCCTGGCTCTAAGCTTGAGGCTGCTCATCTGTAAAATGGGCCTGTAGCAGCACTGGCTTCCCAAGATGGTGAGGACTGAGTGAAAGGGACCCAGTCTGGCACACAGCATGGAGAAAGAGCTCAAAAACCGCCCAGGGGCACACGTTCAGCCTAGCGGTTAAGAAGCCCCCCTCCCATATTCAAGTACCTGGGTCTCATACCCAACCTCAACTCCAACTCCTGATTCCAGCTTCCTGCTAATGCAGACCCTGGGAGGCAGGTAATGGCTTAAGTAATTGGGTTCCTGCCACCCACATGGGAGACGCTGACGAGTTCCGAGCTTCTGGCTTTGGCCTGGCCCAGCCCAGCCAGTGGATGGGAGCACTGTTTACCTCAAATTTAAAAATAAAAATAAAAACCAAATACCGCCAAGACTGTCATTCCCCACCTCCGTCCTCCCATAACTGACCAATGGATGAGGTGTAATCGGTGGCTCCGAAGATGAGCTCTGGGGCCCGGTAGTAGCGGGAACAGATGTAGGACACGTTGGGCTCCCCGCGGACCAACTGCTTTGCGCTGTGAAAGAGACAGGCAGGGGTGAAGACGAGGCAAGGTGTAGGGACCCCTGCCCCTGCAGCCCCCTGCGCACCCCCGCCCAGGCCCACCTGCCAAAATCGCAAAGCTTGAGGACAGCGGTGTCGGGGTCCACCAGCAGGTTCTGCGGCTTGATGTCACGGTGACACACACCCTGGGAGTGGATGTAGGCCAGGCTCCGGAACAGCTGGTACATGTACACCTGGGGCGGGCAGGACAGAGACGTCGGGCCCAGCTCTCCCCACGGGGCTGACCACCGCTGTCCTGGCCTCAGGGCCTGCTCTCCTGCTGCCCTCAGGGAAGCCCACTCTTAAACCCCTCACTCAAAGGGTCTGTTTAAACAGGGACTGCTGCGCTCCGTGCCCTCAGTTTCTGATTTGGGACTTCAGGATGGGGCATCGGCAACAAGCCCTCGCTTGCAAAAAGCAACACAGAAACTCAGAAAGCCCTGTCACAAAGCAGGCTGGAAAACCAGGCCCTGGGCTTCCTCGCCCACACCACTGCCTCTAAGAGGGGCTCAGATTCTTTAAGTCATGATCAAAACCACCCAGGAGGGGCCAGCACTGTGGTGCAGTAGGTTAATCCTCCGCCTGCAGCACTTGCATCCCATATGGGCACCAGTTCAAGTCCCAGCTGCTCCTCTTCCCGATCTAGCTCCCTGCTATGGCCTGGGAAAGCAATGGAAAATGGCCCAAGCACTTGGGCCCCTGCACCTGCGTGGGAGACCCAGAGAAGCTCCTGGCTCCTGCCTTCAGATCAGCCCAGTTCTGGCCACTGCTGCCATTTGGGGAGTGAACCAGTGGATGGGAGACCTTCCTCTCTGTCCCTCCCTCTCATTCTGTTACTTCACTTTTCAAATAAATGCATAAAATCTTAAAAAAAAAAAAAAAAAAAAAAAAAAACCTGCCTCCATTCCATCTCCATTTTCCTACCACCCATCCTCCCACTAGCTAGAACCTGGGTGCCAAGGGAGCAGGCACCTCTGTTTGCATCACTGTTGCTTCCCCCAGGGCCCACAGCAGGACATGGCCGACAGCGCCTCAGCGGCACCACCACACACAACACTGCTTCCCAAGCCCCTCCTCCTCCGTCCCCACTCCCCTTGACCAGAGATGCTGCTTCCTCAACCCGCGCTGGTCTCCTGGAAGCCTTCCTCAATCCTCCTCCCCACCCAGGCTGGGCTGGGGGCTGCCCCAGCATGGCAGTAGCTGGTAAGTTTGCAAGTTTCCTGGGACGTCTGTCTGCCTTACCAAACTGAGCTTTCCACGGCAATACTGGGCTCACTTGGCAGCCTCTGGCCTGCTCAGCACTGAGCCAGTAGGCAGGCAGCCACGGGACAGGGTCACCCCACCAGAGAACTCCTCTCCCAGGAGGTGAGTTCCAACAGCAACAAGCAGTGGCAGAGCCGCGTCGGCTCACGCGGGCGCAGGGCGCTCACAGCCAGCAGCGCGGGCCACCGGGCCCAGGCCACCTCCTGCCAGTGCAGCAGGGCGCTCCAGCCTCTGCCCTCCACATCGTCCCTGCGCTGCATTCATTCACTCACGCGTCAGTTCATTCATTCAGACACCTCCTGAGGATCTGCCACACCCAGGGCACGGTGCCGAGCACCGGGGAGGGAGCCTGCAGACGAGGCGCGAAGGCACATTCCCGGTTCTGTGGACACTGAGCTCCTCCCGACCCTAGCTCCTTGCCACCTACCCCACCCCCCACGGTCCCGAAGGCCCGGACCCTGACCTCGGCAGCACTCCCTCCGCACTCCTTTCTTTGGTGCTAACCCCAACGTCCCTGAAGCTGCCTGGGCTCCCGTCCCAGTGCGGATCTGAGCAGGCACCCGGCAGCCTCCTCAGACCCCTGGTCAGGCCTCACCTGGCCCTCCCCCGTGAGCTGCATTTGGGGTTCTTGGGATGAGGGCGGGGGGCACAGGCCCTCCAGGGCTCCTGGCTCTGTGGCCTGAGCTCGCCCACCTGCCCGCCTACCTTCACGTAGATGATAGGGATGGTCAGTTTGGCCTTGGTGAAGTGGCGGGCCACCCGGTACACGGTCTCGGGCACGTATTCCAGCACCAGGTTCAGGTAAAGCTCATCCTTCTGCAGAGAGCAGAGGAGCAGGGTGAGGCACTGCGATGCGGGGCGGCACATGGAGAGCAAGGGGGGAAGCGGGGAGGCCCGGAGATGGGTGGGGCTACGGTGCAGCACCCCGCCCCCGTGCGCCGGTCTCACCTTCTCCCCACTGGAGTAGAAGAAGTATCTCAGCCTCACAATATTGCAGTGGTCCAGCTTACGCATAATCTGCAGCTCTCGGTTCTTGGGAACAGAGAGAGAAAGTCTCAGGACACGGCCGGCTCTGCACCGCTCCCTCGCACACCCACTCCCCCGTGCCCGCCCACAGAGCCAGGCAGCTGCTCCCCGTGTCTCGGCCCCGAGGTCCCTCTGGGGTCCCCTCGAATGCTTCACTGCCAGCCAGTTCCTCTTCCACACAAGCAGGAGACCCGTGTTAAACCCACACCCCAGGCGTGTGTGAGAATTTCTCTAATTATGGCTGACATTTAAAATGAAACGACTTCCTGTATAAACCCAACTTTCAGCTTCTCTGGAAAAATCAGGTGCTGCGGCTGCACGAGGCTCTCTGCCGGCACGGCTCCAAGGCGCAGCAGACGAGCGGCAGCCACGCCGTCCGCCCCGGGCTCCACCGCTCCCTGTCCCTTCCCATGCAGGGAGACGGAGGCATCCGGGCCCTGGAACGAGCAGACCCAGGCTTCCAATCCAGCTTCAGCTTCTTCCCCATCCTCTGGTCCCCTCTGGGCGCACACAACTCAACTCTGATCCAATTCTGACTGACGCCCCGGAGCTCCGCCTGCCTGTCTCAAACCTCCACTATCGCCCTTCGGCCGTCCCCTGTGTCGCCTCCTGGTTCCTGGGTCTCTGCCGGCTCACAGGGGCCCCTTCCTCAGGGAGACAGCGCCTCACACCCAGGGCCACAGTGCAGGGCCTCCTCTCTGGGGAGAGGCAGACCCAGCAGAGAAGGAGGGGCTTGGCAGTCAGGCCAGACTCGAGCCTTGACCGAGGTCCCTAACCTGCCGTCTGGCTGCTTCCCTCGCGTGGAACAGCACCTGCTCTCAACCCGAGTCACAGACCTTGCCTGGAAAGCACTCGTGCCGAGCAAGCCCCCAACAGCCGTCAGCCCTGAGCGCGCCTGGGACTCACATGTCCCTTCCTCGCCCCAACTCTGAGCTCAGACGCCCTCGGCACGCCCGGGCTCCAGGTCCCCAGTCCCGCCCAGTCCTCAAACCTCCTCACCCCCATTCCCAGGCTACCTTGAACCTCTTGTCCTGGAGAACCTTCTTGATAGCCACCAGCTCCCTGGTCTCCGCCAGCCGTGCCTGGTACACCACCCCGAAAGAGCCATTGCCAATCACTTTGATGTCTGTGTAAGCCACCTCCTGGGAGCGCTCTGGGCCTTGGCCCAGCGTGGCCACCACTGTGGTCACCTTCCCGCTGTCACCTGGGGAACAAAGCAGACACAACACTTCTCTGACCGCTCCCTCCGGCCACTGCCCTGAGGACTGTGGGAGGCGAGGCAGGCGGATCCCTGGGCCTCCTTGGCCCTTCTCCCCTGGCCTGAGCCCTCCCAGTGACCTCTCCCCTCCCCCTAGGAGAGCCCTAAATCCCGCTTCCTCCTCTGCTCTTCCAGGGCACTGGGCCCTGGCGTTGGAAGAACCCCCACCCCGGCTGTCGAAGGCGGCCACCCCTGTTTGCGGGAAGTCTGGCCTAACTTCATCCACTACAGGGGGCAGCGACCTGACGTCCTGCTTTGTGAAAGCTTTCTCCCGGCCTGGGGACAGCGACCTAAGGCCTCCCTGCTGGAGGTGGCTTTACCACTGGTTCTTGGTGACAGAAATGACCGTCCTCTCCTGCTGCGCATACTCGTGCCCTGACCACCCCTTCCTGGGGACGGTTACCCCTACCTAAATATTCCGCGGTTAGAAAAGGCACCAGACACCTCTGCCCTGTACGTGCGTGGGCTCCTGTCGGACAGCACTGAATTGTGGGCGTGAACTGATCCCCATTATCGGGTGGCTCCGCTCCCTCGGTCCTTTTAGGAAAGATCTGATTCTGCACTCCCGCTCTCCGAATGGCAGCAAACCTTGGAGCTACCCTTAGGGGACAGCGGCCCCCTTCTCTGGGGAAACTGACGAACCAGATCCGTTTTAAGGGGCACACATTACTTATCTTTGGAGCCAATGACGACACAGCCAGAATGATTAGAAACGTATAGGATCAGACTCATGTTTTATGAGGAACTGGGACCACCCTCCCTCCATTCCATTTTTTTAAAAGGAGGCCCATGGAGCCTTTTCCTTTTTTTTTTTTTTTTTTCTTTTTGAAGGGACTTAGTGTGAAGAGTACACAGACTTGAATCGGTCTTATTCTTAAACAGCAACATCTATACTGCCAGTCGTCGGGGTCCAGGTCTACCCATTCCAGGTCTCGCCTGTTAAGAGGGAAACTGACCTGGGTCCAGCTGGGGTTGGGGGCCCGGTCCTGTTCTCTGGAGACACAGAATTCCCAAATCCCTGCTTCTAAGTAACACCCAGACCCCACCCTCTGAGGGAGAACAAATGTCCACCCCTTGGTGGACGGCGGCCGCGGTCGCGTCCTTGTTCTCTGAGGGGACAATAACCCCAGGCTCCCGTTCGTCAGTGGCTGTGACCTCTGGTCCTGTTCTCTAAGGGGCACCAACGTCAGGGACCCGAGGCCTGGGTACTGGAAAACCGGGGGCTTGGGACTGCGACCTCCCCGAGTGCGAGTGAGCCTGATCCTACAACCCAAGCGACGGGAGCCCCTAAGACCCCTTTCTCCGGGAGGCAGAGCGCGCAGACCCCCGTTGCGGGAGGCACGGCGACCTCCAGCAGCTCCCATCTGGGCACAGGAAGGAAACTGATCGGTGTGTGTGGAGGCTCAGCAACCCTGGTCACCACCCCACACGGGCGCTGGTAATACTCACGGCCCAGCTTCACTCCCGGCGGCGGGAAGCTAGTGCCCGCGCCGGGGCCGCCGCTGCCGCCGCCGCCGCTGCTGCTGGGGCCACCCCCAGAGCTCGAGGCGCCCACGCCCCCACCCATGGCCCCGACCGACGCCTTCCCGCCGCTGGTGCCGCCTGGGCCGGAGGCCGAGCCCCCGGGGCCGCCGCCGCCGCCTCCGCCTCCGCCGCCTGGCTCCGCGAACGAGCTGGTCCGCGCCCGGCCCGAGCCCCCAGGGCCGCCTCCGGAAGGCCCGCCGCCGCTCATGGCGCCGAGCGCAGGCCCAGGCCGCGGGGCTCGGGCTGCCCGGGCTGCCCCCGCCGCCGCTGCCGCCGCCGCCTCCCCCCGGCTCCGGCCTCTTCCAGGCCGCGCCGCTCGGGCTCCGGCTCCGGCCCAGCGCCCGCCGCGGGGCACGCCGGGAGATGCAGTCCGCGCCGCGGTCACCGCCCTCAGCCCGCAAGGCTCGCGTGGCACGCCGGGAAATGGAGTCCACAGAGGGCCGAGCAGCCCCTAAAGATGACAGGTCGCGCTGCCCGTCGGGAAACGGAGTCCTGAATAATCCGGCGGCCGCCTGTGCCCACAGCGGACCCTAAAGGACTTTGGAAGAGTCAGAGACGCACACTCGGCCCACTGCGGCAACGACGAGCCCTTAAGTGGGCCTCAGAAACGCAGCCGCAGCCACTCCATCCCTGAGCGGTGTAGGCCTGATGCATGCCGGTAAATGGAGTCCAATCGTTCACTTTAGTCTATTGGCTCCTGGTGTCTACCGGCGCCAGATGCACGCTGGGAAACCGAGTCGGCGTCCATGAACGCGCAGCCCTCTGGCCGCGAGGCCAGCCGGGAAATGGAGTCGTCGCCACGCCCTCACCGCATTGCGGGTGTGAAGCGGGCGCCAAAGCACGCCGGGAAATGGAGTCCTAGGTGGGTTGCAAGTCCCCAGTGGATGCTGCAGTTCCGGAGACAGGCCAGGAAATGGAGTAGGTGTCGCGCTCCCCTTCCCAGGTACGCTAAGCCGCAGTCCCTGTCGGGAAATGTAGTCGACACCAAGGCATCAGTGCGGTTGCCACAGCGAGCCCGGGGGTCTTCTGGGAAATGGAGTTCAGCGCAGCCTCCCCAGGGCCTCAGCCCGAGGCCTGCTGGGAACTGGTCCAGACGGGATTCTGACCCTTTGTGGGGACCGACTGCAGAGGCTTGCCTGAAAGTGGAGTCCCCCGGTGGGGAGGCGAAATGAGTGGAGGCGAAAGGTTAAGGACGGCAGCACCCTGCGGAGACCGCAGAGTGTTCCAACACCCCCCCACACACGCCCCCAGGGCTCTCCTAAGAAAGCACCCGAGTCACAGGCCAGCCTTTCTCTGGCAATGTGGGTTGCGCTAGCAGGCCGAGCCGAGCGTAAAAAAGAAATCTAAATGTCTGTCTCGAACGGCCCGTTGTGTCTACGGTCCTGCGTCCTCGGCTTCCTCAATGACCGGATCCCGGAAGGCCCAAAACAAGGAAGCCGGCTGCCGGGAGCAGCCCAAGGGTTTGTACACTCATTGAATCGCTCCATCTTTCGAGTAATACCCGGAAGTAGAGCAGCCCCGAAGGACGCTGGGAAACAGAGTTCGTGCGTGTGGCTCGCCCCGCCTCGGAGGCGCTCGGAACCAGAACGAAAGCCCCGCGAGCCCCTCCCGCCCGCGTGAGGTGGTGGAAAATGGAGCGCCAAGCCCGCGTTTCCCTCTCTGGAACGCGAGAGAGGGCTTAGCCTCTGGGTCGGCTCGGGACTGCAGTTCCCGGCGGCCACAGGGCTTCGACGGAGGGTGGCGCTACAGTCCCGTCGCACCACATAGTCCAGGAGGCAAAGCGCAGACACACTTCCGCTCCCGTTGCAAAGCGGGTGTTTCTGGGAGTTGTAGTTCCCCAGCCCAGGGGTAGGTGCTGCCCTCTGACGGCAGCTGGGAGTTGAAAAGTCAGATTCGGAGTCAAGTCCCCAAAGGCCTTAGGGAATCCGACACGGGGATCAGCAAGGCTCAACCGAGGCCGCCAAGCGGGGCAGGAAGGCGGCGGTTACTTCCCCGCCAGAACCCGTGGGACATGCGCAGTGGGTCGCGCGTGGGCAACTCCCTGGAGGCTGAGAAGGTTCATCAGAGGGATGTTCGAGGGGGTTCGAGGTGTCTAGAAGGGCGCTGTTGGTGACCAGAGGGGCTGTGGGAAGTCGGCAGAGATGCAGGGGGTTTGGATGGCCTGTCGCAGCTGAAAACCATTCCTGGGTTTTCATTCGAGGCCTGGGGAGACCGCCAACAGAGGAAATCTCCGAGTGGCCCCAAGTGCTGAGCGGGTGGCTGCTGGCATCTTTCGCGGTGCCGAGAGGCCACAGATGCAGGCAGGGGCTCTGGGATGGGATGCACTCATCTAAGAAGTGTCTCGAGAGATCCGTTAGGCATTGTCCACTTGAAAGCAAGGATATGGGAGGATACGGACGAGACCAGGGAGGTCTTGTTGCAGGGACATTCTGAGCCTGCTAATGAATTTCTGCGGGCAAGCAAAGACGCAGGGAGCTGCTGCGGGAGTTCTCAAGGCCAAAGCCACCTGCGACATCCCCCACAGCCAGAATCTGGGGCAAGAAGTCTGGCTGGGCGGTGGCGCGATGCGGGGAGCACTCACACGTCCACGTTAGATGTGGTTAGAGATGCTTTGAAAGCCTGAGGGCCGGGGGGCTCAGACTCCGTCCTCCCTCCCCGCAGTGACGCCATCCCCTTCTCCACCACCCCACCACCGACTCAGCTGCATCTGCGTTGCCAGGAGACATGCCTCATCCCACTTCCAGAAATAGCCCAGCGGCCCCCACCCCAGGGACTGTCTTACATCACCCAGGAGAGGGAGCAGTTGCCTGCGAGCCACCCCGGGAGCCCCGCTTTCCTGCCAGTACCCCAGCCTGGATCCTCTCTTCAGTGCCAACCCACATCATCGGGGACCACCCACCGGGGGCCTGGCATGAGCCGAGCACTGAGCAGCTGCCAGTCAGCGTGCCTTCCCCCTCTGGTGAAGCCAGTCCGACAGGCCCTGAGCCCTCTGTTCCCACTGCTCCTTGCAGCTGGCCTTGGGGGAAAACCCTTTCCCTCTCTAGGCCTCAGGCACCTCACCTGCACTGAGGGGCCGGGCCTGTCTAGTGCTCTTCCAGCCAGGAATGCGCGCGTCCCTTTCATCCCGACTCCAGCTCTCCAATCTGGACTTCAGACTTTATGAGCTCATCGCTCAGATCCTATGATCTCTAGACCCTGATCTGGATCCAGCCATCTTGTCTCTGGGGAGGAAAATTCAGTTCTTCAAAGAACCCGGGCTTTGGATCAGCCGCCTCTGAGTTGTGACTCAGCCTCAGGGCCCTGGGCAAGTCGTGAGCTTACACCACTGCCCGACTGGATCCTGAAGAAAACTAAACACAGCAGCTCTCAAGTTCTGGACGCGTGGCGAGTAATTTCTAAACTTTTTATTTGAAAAGGCAAACAGATCTTCCATCTGCTGGTTCACTCCCCCAAATACCTACTAGGCTGAAGCCAAGAGCCCTGACCTCAATCTGGTCTCCCAAGCGGTCACCCAACCATTGGAGCCATCAGAGGGACATGGGATAAGGGAGGCAGGTGTCTCCACATCGAAACTGCTGGCTGAGGCTGTGCACAGCACATCAGCTGGGGGCAGCTAGGACTGTAGCGCCAGTCCCTTCCCAACGTGCTGGCTGGACCAGAGCGTCGCTGAATCCCACATTCCAACACACTGCAGGCCCCACCTCCAAAGCACACCCAGCTTAACTTAAAGACATGGGAAGGGCGCTGGAGGCAGCATGGCCTTGGCTGAGGGTCCAGGTAGCAAACCCAAGATAGTTCGGGCAGTATAGCAGGGACAGCGGGCCTGGGAGGGGCGGAAAGAGCTCCTGAAGACACGCATACAGTCACGGGGTGGAGGGCAGACATGTGACCAGGGCTGATGTGACACCCACCTATCAGACCACTTCCCCAGGCATTCCGATGAGGTTAGGTGCTCTGGCCACTGACCCAGGGGACGGCCTGGACCTGTCCAGCAACAAGCAAAGGCCACGAGCCTGCCACGGCCGCACCGAGTACTTGGCACAGATCAGTGCATCCAAAGGTCCAAAGTTTTATTGTTTTGAATACATTCTCCAGAAGTCCCCTACTCCCCCCCACCCCCAGTACAGAATAAGGCTTAGACCAGAGCTCCCCCCACCCCACCCAGGGGCCCCAGCTGGGAGGCAGAGGGGGCTTCCAGTTTGGTTTTGGGCAGCCCCTTCCCATCCCCCCACCCGCCTGCCCAGGGCCAGTCCTAGGAGCAGCTGGGGGTGAAGGGGTTGGACCAGTGCTGTGGTGGGGGCGGGACAAGGAGAGTAGGCACTTGAGACTTGTGGCCCATGGGGGTACCCCTCACCCTACTGTCCCCCCAGCCCTCCCCCACAGAATTTTTGGTTCATCATAAAACTGTCCCTCCCCTGCTGCAACACTGTGGGATATGAGAAACCCAGGCACTCACGGCCCCTGCAGGGGCCAGGAAAGCAGGGCTGGGGGCGGGGGGGAGGCAGAGGACAGCCCAGCTAGGGGACAGGTTCAAGAGGCAGAGAACAGGGAGGGAGGGAAACAAGGCTTTGATTTCCTAAACGATTGTAATAAAAAAGTTCCTGGGTGCCAAGGCCACACAGCCTCAGTTCAAACATCTGCTCCCCAGAATGGAGGTGGCCCCCCGACGACTCCCACCCCTCCCCCACCACCACTTTGCCTGGAACTCAGAAAACCCAGACACAAGGGACAGTCCCCAGCCCTGGGCACCCACCCACCCCACCGTTTAAAAAAAAAAAAAGTTTTATACAAAATGTGGAGGGGAAAGGGAGGAGGCAGGAAAACCAGACAGCTGCCCTCACCTCCAGGGCACGGGAGGGGCGGGGTTAAGGCAGCAAAAGCATTGCGGGGTGGGGGGACCTGGGTCCCCGGCCCACAGCCCTCAGGAATCTCGGGGTTCCAGGGAGAGCTGGGCCGTGGCACGCTGGAGGTCGGAGCTCACCCGCCTGGGAGTGAGGGGGCCCCCGGGCTCCCCCGGGCCTTCACCACGCACCTTCTTGTCCTCACCCTCATCCTCCAGGCCCCCAGCGGGGCCCCCGCCCCCCTCCAGCCGACAGTCCTCACTCCAGCGCCGCTTGAATCGCAGCTTGAGGGGCATGCACTGGGCCGCCCCGGGCGCCTCGCCGGGCTCCGGCTTGGGGGGCGCAGGCGGGGCGCGGGGCGTCTTGAACACCTCCCCATCTTCCTCATCCTCGTCGCTGATGTCAGTCACCTCCACCTCCTCCGACTCGCCTTCCGAGATGGGCTCCACCTTGATCTGCGGCGGCGGAGGGGCCAGCGCCCCCACCCCCTCGGCCAGCCCGCCGGCGCCGGCGCCACCTCCACCGCTGCCCTTGTCGGCGCCCGCAGGAGCCTTTTCCCCAGCGGCCCGCTGCCGGCGTCCTAGTGGGGGTGGCTGGAGCTTAAACTTGAACGGGGAGGAGGAGGAGGAAGAGGAGGACGAGGCCGAGGAGGGGACCGGCGGGGTCTCCGGCGCCATGGGCGGCAGCGGGCACTTGTCGGGGCGCTGAGGCTGCGGCACCACGAGCCCGGGGTAGTGCAGGAAGGCGCGGGGGCTGAGGTGGTAGTTGTAGACGCTCTGGGTGTGTGCCTGCAGGTACCGTTTCATGTCCTCGGGGCTGAAGGAGAAGTGGGAGCCTCCCCCTGAGCCGCTGGGGCCCCCCCCGCCGCTGGGGTACATCGGGCTCAGCGTGGGCGAAGGTGTGTAGGCCAGGTGGGTGGGCGTCATGGGCAGAGCCGGGGAGAGCTGAGGGGGCAGCAGGGAGCCAGGCCCCGCCAGAGGCGACACAGGGAAGGGGCTGAGGGGCTCAGGGCCACCCCGGGGCCGGGGATAGACTCGGAAGACGCCAGGGTCGTGGGGCAGACGGGCCAGGGGGGGTCCTCGGAAGGCACCCAGCTCCGGAGGACCTGGTGGCCGGGCCCGGGGATCCTCGCCCAGTGGCTCCTCCAGCTCCGACGTGCCATCGCTGCAGTCACTGACGGAGCCGCGGCCCAGGCGGCGGGCCACCACAGCCGAGAAGAGGGAGGATGAGGACGAGGAGCAAGCTGGCGGCGAGCGGGGGTCCTCGGTGGGGGACAGCACCTCGGAGGGCGTCGAGGGAGGGAAGCGGAAGTGGCTGCCACCTGTCGGCACTGGAGGGGCGCTCTGGGGCACCGCACCCCCTGGCGAGAGAGGGGAAGAGCTGGTGTGAAGGCTCCTGGCCCAGCCTGGACACGCACAGAGACCCTCCGGCTCCCCAGTGCCCACCACCACCCCTGGCACTCGGCACTCACCAGCCAACCCCACGTCGATAAAAGGGTAATTAACCAGCACCAGTTTGTTGAAGTTGAACTTGTAGGTGAACCGTTTCCCCTTGGTCTTGTGTAGAATGCGCTTGTTGTAATAGTAGCTGCGGAAACACCATTGGGAAGGTGAGCCTGGATTGCACCCGCCCGAGGGCCTAGATGGGGCACCCTGACACCCAGCCATGTGCCGGGAGGCTGCTCGGCGAACCCTGAGAAACACGGGGCCGCCCAAGAGTGACCAAGTGCCTGCGAGGGATAGGGACACGCACTCCCCTCGGGTCTGGGCTCAGACCACAGGTTCCAACCCGTGACTGTGTTCTCACTGATGCCTCTGTGACCAACCGAGGAGCTCAGAGAAGGGCTAGGACTTGCCCAAGGTCACACGGCTGGCTAGGTGTTGGGAGAGTCGGGACTCAAACCCACAGTCTATTCCCCAGGGTGGGAGCTGTGCACACGGGCTCAGGGTCCCCAGCCCCTCCTCACCGCAGGGCCCGGCTCAGCTTGTCGTAATTCATCTGTGGCTTGCACTTGCGCACGCCCCAGAGCCGGGCCACCTCGTCCGGGTCCTTGATGACGAACTCCCCGTAGTCTCCCTGCCAGGCGATGACACCCTGGTACTCCTCCTTCCGCAGCAGCTCCAGGATGAAGTGCCACAGCTGGATCTGCCTCGAGCCAGGGGACGACTCCGGCTTGTAGGCCCAGTCCGGGAAGGCGAACCCTGGGGAGGGGAGGCAGGGAGTGTGGCCTGGGCTCAGGATGCCAAGGCTCGGGCTGCGGGTCCCTCCTCGGGAGCCATGTCCTGCCCCGCCCTCAACAGAGGGAAATCCTTGTCCCCTTAGCCAAGTCGAGACCTGAGCTGGAGGAGGACAGTGCGTGTCTGTCTGCGTGTGAAGGCGCTGGACGGGAGCTGGGAGGAGGGGAAGCCGGAGCCTGCTCCGGCGACACCGGGAGAAACAGGAAACCGTCGGCGGCGGGTCCCGGGGCCAGTGCCAGGGGGCCAGGCACCAAGCCAGGCCGACGGGCAGGGCTGCCAGTGGGGGAGGGGCAGGAAGGGGCACACGTGGCCAGGCAGTTGGGGCGCAGCCCCCCCCAAGCCCACCCCTACTCCCATTCAGACACAGCCGTACCTCCCCCCAGCTCCTACAGTCCCCACCTTAGGTGCATACACTGCTGTACCCCCAGGACCCACAGCGCTCTTACTCCCACCCCAGGACCTGAGCTTTTTTTTTTTTTTTTTTTTTTCTTAAAAGGACCAGGAGGGGTGGGGTGGCTGCTTGACGATGAGGTCAGCGCTTGCACACACACAGAGGCTTCTGTCTTCCCTGGAGAGTGAAACCCAGACTGTCTGAGAGGCCCCCCAAGCCCTGGACCCTCTGAGCTGCACCGCCCTCCCCAGACCCAGCATCCAGGCCAATCCTGGCCGGAGGACGCCCGGCTCTGGCCCTGAGACTGACTGTGCAGGCACCGGTGGAGCTGGCGCCCTCTCCCCACGTCTGCCTTCCCCCTCTCAGCTCCGTCCCTGCCCACCTGCCTGCCCGCCCCCAGCATTAACCTTGGGTAGAGGTTGGTGGTGGGCTGGCTGGTCCCTGGAGGGGGTGGGCAGCCCAGGGTGGGGGGGTGGGGGCTGTGGTTGTTGTCATTTCCCAAACCCCCGGGTAATCAGGGGCCATCAATAATTCAGCACCAGGCAGCCGGTAATGGAGGGGTGGGAGGAGGGAAGGGGAGGAAAGGAAGACAGGGGGAGGCAGGGCAGGGGCCCTGGTGCCAGAGACACAAGGCCAAGGTGGGCGGCTACAGATGGGCGGAGCCCCAAGTCTCAGGCAGGCAGCAGGGGTCAGTCTCCCTCCCTAGGTCCTGGCTGAAGTGGGTACCGAGGCCTCGGGGCGATCCTGCAGAGTCTGGACTCCAACAGGGGCCCCACAGTTCCTGCTTCCACAGGGACCCTCCCCTCAAAACCCAGAGGCCCAGGTCCCAGCCCCTGACCCAGCATAGCCAGGGATGGCCAGTCCCACATTCCCCACCTAGTCCCTGCCCCGTTCAGGTAGCCCAGCCTCAAACCAGCCCCTCGCTGTCCAGGGACCCGAGTCCAGCACCCGCAGCCCGGCGCCTTCTGCTGTGAGCAGTCCCCAACGACCCTCTGTGGGGACCCCGGCGTCCACGGCCCCATCCTTCTCTTGGGAATCTGGGGACTCACCCCATTATTTCACCCTGCAGGAGAACCCAGGCCTCCACAGGGTCTCTCTCAGGGCCCAGTGGCCACCAAGGAACACAGGTGACCGTGCCACCAGCTCCACCTAACTTCACAGCCCCCCCCCTAAAAAGCTCCTGGTCCCTCTCAAGGCGCCAAGGTCCATACCACTCCCATCTCTACCCCAGTCTGGGCCCGGGCCCGGGCGGCAGACTGAAGCCCCTGAGACATCAGTTTGGGGGTGGGGGCTGTACTGACTTCCACCCTCCCCCCCCAAATTAAAGCCACCCTTCCCAGCCCACCAGCCCCAGCCTCCGTGTCCCGGTAACCAGGCAACGTGTGTGCAGCGACAGTCCTGGGAGCGGGGGAGCAGGAGGCTAAAAATAAACTTTGCAGAAGAGAGGGAGTGAGAGAGACTACATGCAACACAAAGAGAACTGGGAAAGGAGGTGGGGGGCTCTGCAAAGGCCTCAAGCTGCATTCTGGGAGCTGTCCCAGGCCCCCTTGTAAGCCCCCTTCCTGGAGCAAAGCCCCCCAAGGGCCCAAACACTGGCTGCCACCCCAAGCAGGGACCTCTCCCGGCTCCCAGGCCCACCCCACGACCAGCTTTCCTCATCGGACACAGCATACACGAGGGCCTGTTCCCAGCTTTGGGGCGGGGGGTGGGATGAAGGGGGGGTGACGTCAGGGTGTCTCAATGGGGCTCTGTTCCCCAGGCCTTGGAGCCAGGAGCCAGGCACGGGCCAGAGGAGCATGTGTAAGTGTGTTGTGTATGGGTCCACGTGCTTAAGGCAGGGAAACACGGGCCCCGCACGGAGGAAGCCTGGGGGTGCGGCCCTCGCAGCACGGGGGCCAAGAGAGAGAGCAGCTGCACTGACACTCAGGTTCAGGAAACTGCAAGACACGGCAAAGGAGGCGCAGCAGACAGGAAGGGCTGGGATGGCTGGGTCCCAGAAGGCACACCTGGTTCCCACAGAGGTGGGGCAGGGAGGCAGGGGAGCCCCAACTCCCGGGCGCTCACCCCACCACCACCACCACCTCACGTTGTCTACCCAAACTTTTCGAAAGGGACTATAGGGGTCGGAAGGGAGGGGTGCTGGTAGAGGAAGAACAAGCCGGCCTCCTGGGGGGGCCCCACCGCCTCCCCCACTCCAGGCAGCCCTCGATGGCGCCAGAGCCGGGAAGAAAACAGGAAGTGGGAAACAGCCGCGGCAGAGGAGAGGGGCCGGGATGGAGGATCGGATGCAGGGGCGAGCAGCGGCCGGCCAGCAGGCAGACGGAAACACGGCCATTCCAGGTCCCCGGCCACCCCCTTCACCCCCAGGCACAGTACCCACCCGCACACGGCTCGGACCCCAGACAGGGCTGGGGAGCAGCCCAGCCGGCCCCATCAGGCCAAGGCCCGCAGCAGGGCAGACAGACGAGGCGGGGTTGTCTGCGCGCCTCTGCCCCCTCCCCGGGCCAGGACAGGCTCCTGCTGCCCCCAGGGCCCAGCGGCCCCGGAGCCCGTGAGTATGTGGGACGCACGTGACTGACCCTACTGCACTCCGCACCCCTGCCCCACCCCAGCCCCCTGGCGCCGGAGCCCCGCTCCGAGCCCTTTAAGAGCCGCCCCCACCCCCCAAGCAGGGGGTGGGTGGGCCGGTCGGGGCACACACCCGCACACAGGAGCCCAAGCCGCGTCCGCCGCCGGGGGACGGAGACAAGTTTGAACAGCGGCGCCCGGCCCCCTTCCCCCTCCCCCGTCCCCGCCCCGGGCCGGATTCCGACGGGGTAGACGGGCAGGGGGCGGCTAGGACCCCTCCCCCCGCGCGCTCCGGCGCAAAGTCCAGCCCGCGCGAGCCTGGGGGCGGCGGGGGATGGGAGGGGGGAAGTCCGAGCGGGAGGGGGGCTAATCCCGCTGCCCCCCGCCCGCCGGCCGAGGGGGGGAGGGGAACCTTGGCCCCTTAAGGAGGAGCAAGTTGGCGGGGAAGAGAGGGGCGGAGGGAAAAGACGGCCGGCTTAAAAAGAAGAGCTGGATCAGGGAGGGGGACCGGGGGAGCCTGTGCGTCCCCCCCTCCCAGTTTCCCCACCCTCCTCCAACCCAGGGCTCCGGAGGCGCGGGAGGAGGGTTCCCGTCTCCCCCCTGAGCCACCTTAAAGCCGCGCGTTCTAAGGTCGGAAACAAAAAGTTCCTTTTTCGAACGTTCAGGCTGCGCTTTGGAACTTTGCGACTCGGCGCGGGCGGGGGAGCGAGGAGCCGGCGGCGCCGGGCGGGGGAGGGGCGGCGCAGCCCGGACCCCGGGTCCCGGGCTCCCCGCTCACGCCCTGCGCCCGGAGGCCAGCCCGGGTCCTCCCCCCACGGCCCGCCGTGAAGGTCACGGGCCGGCCCGCGCGGCGCGGACCCGAGCATAGCGGGCCCCGTGGACACAGCCCCCCCCCACCCCGGCCCCCAGAGTGCAACGTGACACAGCGCCTGGGGGGGGTCCTGCCACCCCTGTGATCCTGGGAGTGGGAGAAAGCCCAGCCCGCGGGGTCCGGGCCGGCAGCGGGGAGCAGCGCCCGCAGCGCCCACACCACTGCGCCCGGAGCCGGGAATCGCGGGTCCCAAGCAGCACCCCCGGCTCGCGCCGTGAGAAGCAACAGGTCTCGAGTGCTTGGGGGGGTCCCCTAGAACTGGGGATCACTCAGGAGACCCTGGACCCCTTCAGCCGCCCCCCCAAAGTTTCTCTGCCCGGTTTCCCGGGGCAACAAGTCTCCCCCACACGTGCAGCCCCCGCCCCCACCTGTGTCCGCCGGGGTCTTCATGCTGGGGGGCCCGGGGCGAGGCGCCCCGACTCCGGGCCGCGGCTCCCGGCGCCCGCGCTGCCCCGTCCCGTCCCGCGCCCGTCGGGCCGCCCTTGCCGCCTCACCCGGCCTCGCCTCTCAGAGCCTCTCCCCTCCCCGCCGCCGCCTCCCGGGTTAATATCGCACTCCGGGGCCGGGACGCCCACGCCCCCCGGCCGGCGACGTCACCGCCGCGTCGCCATGGAGACGCTGCGCCCGCCCCCTCCCCGCGCACTCACACACACACGTTTGCCGGCGCGCAGCCACTGAGGACCGGCCGGCTCTGGGCTTAAAGGGGCCGCGCGGCGGGGGAGGGAGGAAGGGGGGGCAGGAGTGGGAGGGGGTCTTGGGGGTCATGACCCTTCTCGGAGGCTCCAAGTTTGCAGATAAATTAAGTCCTCAGCCCTCGGTACCTGCTGCCCTTCCTGTCCTCCTGCGCCCTGGGGGTTTCAGAGTTTTGGAAGCCTGGGGTAGGGGGTCCACAAACTTTGGTGGGGAGGTAGCAGAGACCCCCACCCCACCCCCGGAAGGAGGCAGAATCTTTTTCTGCGGGAGAGTGAAATCAGGAGCTTAAAAGATGACCAAGATCGCAGCATTTTCCAGCCTGGCCTTACGCAGCTCCCCGCCTCCCCCCCCCGCCCGCCCCAACCCGGAGCCTGAATGGGGGCAGCTGTCCAGGGGTGGGGTGGAATGGGTGGGAAGCATTTCCCAGCATCGGAAATGGGGAGGCGGCCGTGCCCTCCGCTCCTGCGGAGATGGGGTCTGGGACTTCCTGATAGCCCCAGTCCAGCTGGAGAGGAGGTGACCAGAGAGAACGCATTCGGGAGCCCGCCGCCCTCCCCAGCCTGCAGCTGTCCTGATCCCGCGGCTGGCGCCGGAGGTACCCCCACCTCCACCACTGGGGCAGAGGGTTCCGGGGGTGGGGGCCAGGATGCGAGGGGGCGACCAAAGTCTGAACAAATGTGCACTCAGGGGGCACTGGGGGTCGCCCGGCGAGAGGAAGACAGGGCTTAAGACCGAAGGCAGGAGCGTGGGGAAGTGTTAAGTCTTCGCTCGCTGCAGCAGCGGGGAGCGATGGATGGAGCCTGAAGCTCCGGGAAACAGGAAACAGGAGTGCAGAGCCGATGGAGGCAGGGCACAGGGCAAACAGCAGCGAAATTCACAGGCAGAGCTTAGAGACGAGGTCTCCAAAGAAGACCGAGATCCCAAAGAGGGGAGTCTGGCGTGGGGCGGGGGTGGGGCAGACAGACATGCCGCAGTGAGGGAAGCCTGCCCGCGGGGCTCTGGGTGCCGGGTTCCCGACCTCCTAGGGCCGCTCCCCACCAGTGCTTCAACAAAAGGCTCAGGCCTCCTCCTTGGGGAGAGCCTGGCCTCCGGGGACGCATCGCCCCGCTGGGGAATTATGTAACCTTGCCTACGGACAGTGCAGCTCCCCCGCGGATCCTGTAACCCTCTGGGAGCAGTGTGGTCCAGTAATCATCATCTTGGTTGTTAGAATCACAGCTCCCGAATTCTGACTGCTCGGGATGTGCCAGGACAGGCGCCAAGCACCCACCCTCCGAGGCATCTTCTCGTTTCATCCGCAGAAATCGCAGCGAGGGGATCACGATGGGTATATCCCCATTTACCCGCTAAGAAAGGGGCTGGAAGAGGAAAGATCAGCCCAGGGAGCCGGGAAGTGTTGGAAGGAGGATTCAAAGCCGGATGGATCCAGGTCTAAAACACCACCCTTACTTTACCAGTAGGCTTTACCCTCTCCTTCTCTGACCCTCCCCCCCAAAAAAGGTGATAAATCAGTGACAGCCCCCACTGATGCCCACCTCCCACCAGAAGGAGAGACCCGGCTTGCAACTATAACTGCTGCATCCTGCCTGTGACATAGGGCAAGTGAGTTTTGAGCCTCAGTTTTCTAATCTGTAAAATGGGGATGTTAGTAGACCCTCTACCATGGAGTTATTGTGAGACTTCAGAGATGTAAAGTAAATGCACAGTCAAAACTGGTCATTGTTAGCAGAGTGACCTGTAAACCCCATGGACAACAGGAGCTAGCGTCTTACAGGCTCCGACTACAGAAGATAAACATGCACCCTGGCCTGGGGGGACAGTGTTGTGGCCAATCGGGGGTGTGCCACAGAAATGCAGACCCTTTTTGATAATCCACTTGCCTCCTGCGGCAGGGTTCAGGAGATGAACCCTCAGCCATGACAGAGATGCTGATCCCCACCCTGCCAGGTCAAACACCCAGGTAGAGGGGCTGGCGCTGTGGCAGGGCGGGTACAGCTGCCACCTGCAGTGCCGGCATCCCATATGGGTGCGGGTTCGAGTCCTGGCTGATCCACTTCCGATCCAGCTCTCCGCTATGGCCTGGGAAAGCAGTGGAGGATGGCCCAGGTCCTTGGGCCCTGGACCCATGTGGGAGACTGGAGGAAGCTCCTGGCTCCTGGCTTCGGATTGGCACAGCTCCGGCTGCTGCAGCCAATTGGGGAGTGAAACAGTAGATGGAAGACCTCTCTCTTTCTCTGCCTCTCCTTCTCTCTGTGTAACTCTGGCTTTCAAATACATAAATAAAACTTAAAAAAAAAACACAACACCCAGGTAGAGCAAATTTGTGATAGAAAGTAACCGTTGCCACTGGCCATTCCTAGAAGACAGGCCTTCCAGCCAAGGCCAATCAGCACCTGTGAGCAAGGCACACTGCTCTGTCCCAGGTCACGGTGGAAGGCCAGCTTCCCAGGGTCCAGGCCACACCCACAGTGAGCAGTGTCACAGGCCACTGAGAAGCCCACTCTGTCCCACTCCCACGGACCTGGTAGTTCTTGTTCCAGTCTGCTGCCCTGACACAGATAACCTTGAGCCTGCTGTTGTCCCGGGAAGGCGTGGGCAGAAAAGCCGCATCTCCCAGATTGCCATCTCTCTCCTGGAAAGGAGACTCTGTGGGCAATAGTGGTATAAGCTGGGGTGGGAGCACCGGGGCTCGGCACACAGCGCCGGCTCCTGACCCCAGCTGTCTGCTAGTGCAGACCCTAGGAGGCTTCGGTGCTGGATCAAATACTTGGGTTACAGCCGCCCACGTGGGAGACCCGGATGGCAGTCTGACTTCCAGCTTCCGCCCCAGCCAGGGGCGAGTTTAAGCATTTAGGGAGTGAACTAGCAGAGAGAAGAAGCTCTCTCTCTATCTGTCTCCCTCTGTCTTTCAAACAAATAATAAAAGAGGAGGGGCAGGTGTTTGGCGTGGTGGTTAGGATGCCTGCATCCCGCATCAGGGTGTCTGGGTTCGAATCCTGGTTCTGGTCTGGATGAGCTTCCTGCTAATGCAAACTCTGGCAGACAGCAGGTCGTGGCTCAAGTACTGTGGTCCCTGCCAGCCATGTGGGGGACGTAAATTGGGTTCTAGTCTCCTAGGTTCAGTCTCACCCAGCGCTAGGCATTTGGGGAGTGAGCCAACAGATGGAAGATCCTCTCTCTCTCTCTCTCTCTCTCTCTCTCTCTCTCTCTTTCCAATCTCATGGGAGCTCCCAGCAGCCCTGTCTGGGCAACTCCACACTCAGCGGCGCTGCACTGCCCCCACTGCCACCACCCTGAGCTGGGGGCTCCTCACTGGCCTCCCCGATGCCACCACCCTACAGCTTCTTGTCCTCCTGCAGCCAGGGGACTCCAGAAATCACATCACAGCCCTTGGTGGCCCCAAACCCACGCCACATCCATGCAGAGGCCTAGAGGCCCCTCCCGAGGGTCCCCTTCGCCTCCCCTCCACCCCCCGGCCCCGGCTCAGCCCCTTGGCTATCTCTCTGCCTTGTGCCCATGCTGTTCCCACAGGAAGGCTCATCCCCAAGACATCTGCAGAGCCCTGGGCCTCATCTCCTGCAGGTTCTCACTCAAAAAACAACTTCCCAGTAAGACCCTGCTGTCTGCTCACTGTTTTGTTGCTGTCGTTTATTTATTTATTTGAAAGGCAGAGTCACAGAGAGAGAGAAAGAGAATCTTCCAAACGCTGGTTCACACCCCCAGATGGCTGTTATAGACAGTGTTGGGCCAAGCTGAAGCCAGGAGCTTGGAACTCCATCCAGGTCTCCCACATAGGTGGCAGCAGTCCAAGCACTTGGGCCATCACCTGCTGCCTTCCCAGGCACGTTAACAGGGAGCTGGACCGGAAGTGGAGCAGCCAGGACTCAAACTGGCACCCATATGGGATGCCCGCCCGATGCACCACAATGCTAGCCCCTCACTCTTTTTTTTTTTTTAATTAAAAAGCATATTTTGAGAAACAGACGAGAGCGAAAGAGCATGCACTTGTTTCTAAATGGCAGCCCCCTCTCTGCATCCCTGTCTCTTCGGTGCTCCTCTGACAAGTGCCACTGTGCTGCTCTGCTTGGTGGCTGCCATGGCGGAAAGAGGTTTCTGTTGCCTGCAGTATTCCCAGAGCCTGGCACAGCGCCTGACAATCTATAATGAATGAATAAGCCCCTCTTTGGACAGTGAACCCCCAGATACCCAACGTGGTACCAATAACTGTATCTCCATAAACACAAAGAACCCTTCAGGGACCGTTAGTGCCAACGCAACCCCCACCACACACAGGATGTGGACCCAGTACGTGGAGGAAACCCCCATAAAGGCTGTAATTGTCCCAACTGTCAGCTCCACGGACAGGGATGGGCTCTGTTTTCTGCTCTGCCTCATCACTGGTGCCTAGATCCGCGTCCATCACAGAACACATGCTGAGAGGGGTGTCCACATGGACGGTGACACAGTGTCCACACGGACGGTGGCGGGTCCTGAACAAGCAGTGTGGGGGCAGGCGTTTGGCCCCGAGGCTAAGATGCTTGCTCAATGGGCCCACATCCCAGATCAGAGGACCTGGCTGGAGGCTTGGCTGATGTGCGAGTGGACGTCCCGGGAGGCGGCAGACGGCGGCTCAAGTACTTGGCTCCCTGCCACCCACGTGGGAGATGTGGATTGAGTTCCTGGCTCCTGGCTTCAGGCTGACCCAGCCCTAAATGTTGTGGAAGATCTCTCTCTCTCTCTCTCTCTCTCTCTGCTTTTCAAATAACAAAAAAAAAAATATTTTTTAAAAAAACAGTATGAACTCCCATATAAGCAGTATGATCCTGGCAAACAGT